TAGGCTATATTAAGTTTTAGGATCCTGTGTTTGTTTCAAATAGTGTAAAACATATACATAAAATGAAGTTTTAATGATGCAGTTAGGTGACAGAGACGTGTGGACAAATTCATTACTTGTAATAAAAAGAAAGCATTTAATATACAAAGTACAATAAACTTTTATAAAAGTTAAGAGTTAGGAAACCTTAAGAAAGTATTAAAGTCCAAATAATGTCTTAAGAGTAAATGAGACGGTCCCCACTGCTCTGCCGTTAGTATGTTAATGAAAAGTCAACCGATGAGGTTAAAAAGTGACACAGAATGAATCTAGAACATAACTCAGACGTCTGATTGGACTCCCTGACTGGATGTTTGGTTCAACCAGCTGTATATGGGACACAGAGACACAGCAAACACTGAGCCTCACTGAGACATTTGGCAGGGAAACCTGTCATTATGGCCTGAGGCTTCAGCTCTGGTCAGAGGAGGACTAGATGTGGATAGGAAAGCAGCGGTCTGTTCAGCTCAAGTCTTCGTTCCAATCCCTGGGTGTCAACTGACTTCCTCTCTGTGACCTCTGACCCCTGACTGACATGGAAATGAGCCAATAACTATTCATGTCTTCAATGACTGCGATGGACAGGATGTGAAATTGAGACATTTAAATGAAATAGTTGCTGCAAAATATGAATTTGAATTTCAAGAAAGCCATTAGTGGTTAAGTAAATGCACTGGGCAGAATTGTATCAAGGAAAAATCTGATTTGGGGTCCAGGAATAGCCCAGCTACAGCGGAGTTATTGGAAATCCAGCCTGTACTTTTCAGGATACTTCCAGTGGTGCCCCCAGAAATCTTTCATAAGGGTGGCCAGATGGGGCCCCTGAAAATCTTGGGGTGGTCCACCAAACCAAAAGCCATAACTGAATTTCAGGAATTCTATTATGCTGTTGAAGTATCTATTAAAACTATGTCAATACTGGTACAGTCAACATTTTGAGCTTCACAGCAACACTGTTTTAATGTGCTATGTTTCTCTACATGTGTTAGGTGATTTATTGTTCTTCAATTGGGCTGGTTATCCAGCACATTGATTATAAGGAACAAAACATTAACTGGAAACAAAGTTTAGGGGAAACTTGTGGGCACCCACACAACCCATTTTCAGTCAGATATCTTGAGGGGAGAGTTCAGCGGACCCCTGTGAAAATGGCCATGGCAGTCATTCCCTTGAAAAAATGTAGCCTAACTTTGGAGTGTTATTTAATCGCTTTCCTGACAACCCATACTGACATGGTTGATACCAATGGATGCCTTAGGTTGTCTTCTTTCATAAAATACCACTTGAAGCTACTTGGCACTAGCTCAAAAAGCATGCCACAGCCCTTTAAGGCCAAGACACACCAAACCAACTTCAAAGAATTAGCAGTAACAAAAACCAACTGATGCATCTCCTCACATCACCTGTGTCTCGGCCAAAAAGTTGCACATGTGCACACTGCAAAGACTACAGCTGATGGCTAACCAGCACATACGTTCTGTGCCTGCGTAAGAGGAAATAACTCTCTACATTAGCAGGCGACAGTAGTCTGTATTTGTCATTCAAAAAGGAAAATCAGAAGACTGTCTTGATGCTAGTTATTCAGTTAGCACAATAACAACACAATCCAATGTTGAAAGAACAGATCATATGTACTAGTGAACAAAAACACAAACCATCAGAAAACATTTCTGCAAAAGAGCTCAATGGATAAAGTGAAATAATCTTCCTTAATGTAACATGTTTGTTTTGGTCACACTCCCTCTTGACTTAAACAGTTTGTTTACTTTCCTCACTTCTGTTTCTCTTCTTGTGCACTGAGCTTAAACTGCCAATCAGAGTGATTTCATTCATTGATGGGCTTCGCCGTTGCCAACACCGATTCAACATGCTGAATCTACCAAAAAAAAAAAAAGCCAACGGGGCCGATGGGGCCCAAGCTGACCAATGGTCCAACTTTGTCTGACAGCCAACTGTTGTCTTAGTGTGGGGCAGCAGCAGTAATTTTTTTCAGGAGGCCCTGACCCCCTCTTGGAGGCGCCACTGGATACCTCACCAATTTCAGGCAACAAAAAACAAAAGCAAACTGTATAAATAATGAGGTTAATTGCTGTAAGACTCTGCAGGATACTGACGTACAGATATAGAGATATAGATATATGGTCAAGATGGCGTAAACTGAAGGCAACATGCTACGAGCCACTATCTCCCTTTTCAAAAGGCACAACAAAGAAAGAAGGCTATTGTTTCATTTTCAGGGTATGTATATATATATGTATATATATATATATATTTTTTTTTAAGGGCTTAAAGTTTTCAGTACAATGAATGTACACTGTACTTTTTTAATGTATATGACAAATTTGAACGTACCAAATTATCAAACACACATCCATAGTTCCAGAACCTTGATTTTCCTTTCAATTTTTAAAGTGACTTGAAGTTTCATTTATGTTTAGTCATTGATTTTATACAAATTTGAACACTGAGGAAAATATTCAGATTCAATTAGTTAAAATATTCCAGTGGCTTTTGCATAAATGTACCCAAACCTCAGCCTGACAGTCTGTCTGTCTATTGTATGTCTATATTCTTTGAAAACTTCTGGGATCTTCCAGGAATTTTAAATAAAATGTCAACAGCTGGAAAATAAATGAGATTTAGGTCCTGTCGAATGTCAGCGTGCCTACTACCTCCCAGATGTTTTCACAGACTTAAACATGGAAAAACTATGGGCTCATAAAGTCACAAGTAAAAGCAAATGCTGAATCTTTCGTGATCTGCTATTGTGCTTTAACACTCACAGTAAAACAGACGTTTATTTATAAGGCAGAAGTTGTGGATGTAAAATCAGAGCAACTGCTGAGCTCATCCAGCTGTGACTTTCATAAACTCATCAAACAATAAAAAAACAGTCAGAGGGTCAAATGAAGTTGAAGAGACTTCTGCAGATGGGCTGAAACACTGTCATTAAAAGCTTTGGGTTTAGTGCCTCTGCCGCTTACTCTGTCGGCATTGTGAGAAGCTGCAGGACACATGACGCCAGAGTGTTTTAACCTCAGGGTCATGCCACTTCATATACGTCCAACATTCCTGGAGATTCCCAATATAAACATGTATACTGAAGAGATCTGTAGCAGTTAAAGTGTATGCTATACTGAGAATCTTTTGACTGCTTTACCTTTCTGTCTGACAGGGGAGTCAGACAGAAAGGTCTCAGTTCTCCATGTATGCTCTCATCAAAGCCAGACTCCACTGAGAAAAGCAGTGATTTAACATCGCTGAACACAGAAGCTGCTGGTCTACTGCTGCCTCATTCATTTAGTTATTCTGTCTTATTGTGTGACTTTGGTGAATCCAAACTAACACTTTTAAACCCCAAAGACACACAATAAGTAAAACTAACTAACAGATGGAGGCAGTGTCAGACCAGCAGCTCCTGCGTTCAGTAGTGTTAAATCACTGCTTTTCTCAATAGAGTCTGGCTTTGACGAGACACATTGTCTTTATTTCCCCGTTGGAAATCAGTGTCTGACGGCAGTGTAGAGCAGGGAAAATTTTCTAAATACAGCCTGCTTTTAAATTGATATTGATTTTCTTTGTTGGCTAGAATTTGTTTTGCTGCTGCCCCCGTCCACAGCAGTACAGTGCTTAACTTCTGTGGCAGTACTCCTGCCTGTTTCCCAAAACTGGGAGCATGCTGACTGCCATCTACTGTATGTAATACACTGATAAAGGATAAGCATCTCATACAACCCACTTCAAAAGATCTAAAGTGTCCCTTTAAGTCCTGCTATTGTACCTTGCACGGCTTATGCACTTTTTATTTATTGCACAACAATATAGGAAAAGATTTAGGCAAAAAACTCCACAGCAAATATGAAATTCTTGTCTGCTGATGAAGGACTGCGTTTTCTCCTTATGACGGTGTTAGAGGAAATATCTAACACTACTGTCGAACACTTTTATATTCAGATGTGTCATGGTAATCTGCTCAGTTCCCTTCCATCAACCATTTCAAACTGCCGTTCAAAATGAAACTATCTGAAGTCATCTGCAACAGAATTTACAACTGGATGTTACGTAGCTCCTTCACACGAGGTGAAATCAGGGGCGATCTGGAAAATTACTGGACATTACAAGAGTAATTACATAAAATGACAAACACAAAATCCACCCATCCATCCATTTTCATGCCCTTATCACAAGTCACGAGTCACAAAGGCAGCAAGCTGACAAAAGTACTCCAGACGTCCCTCTGCCCAGTAACACTTTCCAGCTCCTCCTGGGGAATCTCGAGGTTTTCCCAGACCAGATGAGATATGTAATCTCTCCAGTGGTTATAAGGTCTGCCCCGGCGCCTCCTGCCAGCTGGACATTCCCATGGAAACCTCTAAAGGGAGGCACCCAGGAAGTATCCTGACCAGATGCACGAACAACCTCAACATCATTTTATTTAATATATTTCATTCCAATCTTGGTCCTTGGTTTTTCGTTTTACTGTCCTGCCATTCTGAGGGTGTTTTCTGTCATCTGCCTGATTCCATGTGAACGCAGCATTAATTATACACACTAGACCTTTCATGGAAACATGTACCAATTTACCTTTTGTGTCTTTGGCTTTCTTTTGGCTGAAATTTCAGAAATTTTCTTAAAACGTGTGCAACACATTATGGAAATACTGTCAGTTGTCTCTGGACCAGATGGGCAAATTTTTAGATCTTCTCAAAATGTATGAAATATCTGGAATATGTGACTCATTGTATATATCATCGCTCAACTCTACTACTAATCCTATTCTTTTATGCAAGATTGTGGAATAAATGTTGAGTTTAATACGTTACATACCCGGAGAGAGAAGTGATAAAATAAGGACAGTAAATTAAAATAGAAACTGTGTTCATGAGAATCTCAGGAGCTAAAATTGGCCACGCTTCAAAAAGTTTGAAAAATATTTATTATGTCTCTCCTCCTTCCTTCAGGATGATTGACAGCTGCTCCTCCTGAACCCCAGGATGCCTGTGGTGCCAGTGGGCGGGACATCCTCCTCCCACCACGTCGTACCTGTCGCTCTCACCTGCTCCTGGCTGCTCCTGCTCTTCCACGCCGCCTTTGGACAGAAACCCGCCAAGCTGCCTCTGATTGGCCGGAAGCCTTTCATTGCTGCCTGGAATGCCCCGTTGGACATGTGCACCATCAAATACAATGTCACCACCAACGCTGACCGCCTCTTCCACATCCACGGGAGCCCACGTGCTGATTGGACGGGGCAGAATGTTACGATTTTCTACGCCAACCGGCTGGGCTACTACCCCCACTACACGCCGCAGGGCACCGCTGTGCATGGCGGCCTGCCGCAGAACTGCAGCCTGGACCAGCACCTGTTCAAGGCCTACCAGGACATCAACCACTTCATCCCCTCAGAGGACTTCCGTGGCCTGGCCGTCATTGACTGGGAGTTCTGGCGGCCTCAGTGGAGCCGAAACTGGCACAAGAAGGACATCTACCGACGCAAGTCGAGGGAGCTGACCGCCAAAGCGTATGTCAATGTGACAGCAGCACAGGTGGAGGAGCTGGCACGGCGGCGGTTTGAAAAGAGCGCCAAGGCGTTCATGCAGAGGACTATCCAGCTGGGGACACGCCTTCGCCCCAACGGCCTCTGGGGTTTCTACCTCTACCCCGACTGCCACAACTACAACCTGCACGAGCAGAACTACACGGGCTTGTGCCCTCTGCTGGAGAGGCTGAGGAACGACGAGCTGCAGTGGCTGTGGAACAGCAGCACGGCGCTCTTCCCCTCCGTGGCGATCAGGAAAACTCACACCAACAGCATCAGCAACCTGCACTTCTCCCAGCACAGGATCCGAGAGTCGCTCCGCATTGCCTCACTGACCTCCAAGGAGTACGACCTCCCCACTTATGTGTACCTGCGGCTGGGCTACCGAGACGAGGCCCTGGCCTTCCTCACCATGGTAACAACAACGTACTTTACCTTTAGTTCAGTATGTAGAATAAGAAGGCAAATTCTATTATTCTCTTGTGGGGAAATATTTCTTTCATTTTGTTAATATTTACACCAACACACACACACACACACACACACACACACACAAACAGGACTTAAACATATTCATTATCATATGGAGACATCTCAGACTGAGAGGCCTGCTTAAAGAATGGTGACCTGAAGCAGCCGTGCCTTGCTCAAGTTTAACTAGGTAATGCGCAGGAGGTGAACTTGCTTGCTGGTCCACACTCCGTACTTCGTCTAAGCTGGACTTAAACCCACAACCCTCTGGTTCCCAAGCCAAGTCTTTACTGAGCCACTGCTGCCCCCAGTACATTATTAACAAAGTCTGATTCAGGTTGTTCCCATGCACTGTTTGTACGTTTACCTATAATGTAAAGTAAAGCACTAAAGATTGTACATATCCCACATAATGATGAGCCAGCAATTCGTGCGCAGCCCATGTATTTTGAAAAGCGGCAATGTTGTGACGGCAGTAAAGAAGGAAGCAGTCCCAAGTGGTCCATTTAGGAGGCAGGTTGGGGTGTCGGACGGGTCACAAAACACAGGACTTTCCCCTGAAGACTAGTGTTAGGAACTTTGAATCATTTAAAGGTACATCATCACCATGATTTCTCACCCTAACCTTCTTCCTGAACGTAACTCTACATTAAGGACGTAACGTCATTAAGTGTTACCGCTCAGTGACAAATTACCAGCTCCGAACTGCAGTTGGGAACATGCTGGCTTATTAGCAGTAATTTAGCTTAGCTCGTTATTAGCTGGTAACTAGCTTTTAGCGGTCTGGACCACTCTGCTGAAGGAAGGATAGCGAGGCGTTTCGGTGCTGTTCACCATCAGTGGCTTTATACACCACACCTGACCTCGATTCTGACTCAAAGAAATCATGGTTCTCACTTTAACAAGAGTTAATTTAGTACTCACGAGTCTGTGGGACGTCACCAGCAGAGTAAGCATCAGAGAGCTGAAGATCTGGTGAAGACTGGTGGGAAAAGGCTGTAAGTTGATGTGCTGCAGATGGCTACAGCCGTCTAATGTGGCGCTCTGTTGGGCGGAAAGAATTCAGGGCGGGAAACACGGACTCCTCACAGGGTCCATCAAGAGCCTTCCGGTCCTGTCACTGTCATGAGTACAAAATATTTAGTTTGCTGAGTCATTTAAATATGCAGAAATGTGTTCATGTAATCATTATTATTCATTGCAAATTTTCAGACAAAGCAAGGAATGACACAGGCATATATTTGCAGCCTAACAATCCTGAGATACAAAATAGGGAAGCAAAATAGTGATGACAAGGCTCAGAATCTGTACAGTCAAATAATCAAAAAACATAAAAGATAGCATTTAAAACTTTTTCATTTTTCATTTATTTATCCTAACAGATGTATTTATTTATTTATGACTACACAATGCTAGACTGAGCTGCAGTATACATTCTTTAGTTTACATTAATTTTATTTTGTCATATCGCACATTAGCTCTTCTTCCAGTATTCAGTAGCGAAGGGAGTACTCAGATATTTTAATTAAGTTAAAGCACCACAGTGTAGAAATGCTCTGTTACAAATTAAAGCTCTGCATTCAAAACTTTAAGTAAAAGTAGTAAAAGTCTCTGCATCAAAATATTCTTGAAGTACCAGAGTAAAATTACTCATAATGCAGAATGGTCCATTTCAGAATAATATTCATCATCAGCCACAGTAAAACTATAATGCAACTCATAAAAGATGTAGAGACACTGCAAATGATTCAAATATCTGACATACACACTGACTTTTCTTCACAACACTGGCTGTTTGCTGTTTGCACATAGACTTGATGGTTTGCACTGACTGAAGGTCTGTTTGCTTTCTCACTGCTGCCATCTAGTGGAGCTCCACTGAAAAGCAGTTCAGGTACAAACCTAGAATGCTGCGGTTTCCTAGTTCTCCCCAAACTGCACCACCACAGCCAGAGGGAGGCTTTGTGTTTCAGCCGACTGCTCTGCTGATTCTTAAGAAATAACCTTTAGAATATCTGTGTCATGTAGAAATAAGGTATATGATTATTCAAAAATAAGTTCTAGATATAAAGTGGATTTTGTTTCTTTAATTATGACTTATTTGAGCGCCAGGTCTTCTTCACTTGATGTTGAACAGAATCAGAAGCGCCATCTTGTGGCACTTTGCTCCACATTATTTTTATTTGGTAACATTTATTTTATTTTTTTTTTACGTGTGTATGATATGTCACGAAAGAACTAACTCATTATTACATTTCTTGTGCTTCCACTTGTCACTTGTAAAAACCCTAAAAATGACTTAAAGGGGACAGTTCACCCCAGAATCAAAAATACACATCTTTCCTCTTACCTGCTATGTTTGAATCTAGATTGTTTTGGTGTGAGTTGCCGAGTGTTGGAGATATCAGCCATAGAGATGTCTGCCTTCTCTCCAATATAATGGAAATAGATGGCACTCGGCTTGTGGTGCTCAAAGTGCCGAAAAATACATTTGAAAAACTCCACAACAAAAGCTCCTTTGACACTGCCTGTTCAAGGCGGGAATAATGTGCCGTTTTGCAGCTTCACTGTGCTGTATTTAAGGTACGATCATGGAATGGGGGGACAGGGTGGCCTCACCTTTAAGCCGCCATGAGAGGTAGTAACAGTGCCAAAATGGTGTCCATATGAACAAGACAGCTGGCAGAAAAGGATCATGGGTGGCACATGTGACATTTTGACATGTTACGTGTATGATCCATTGTGGGAGATTTAGAAAGTAGCTGCTAGCAGTTAGCGGCTAACTCAAAGAAGAAGAACAGCAAGCAGGAAGAACCAGATATGTCTGCAAATTAGGAAAACAATGAGATTCAGGAGCTCCTTACCCTCTGAGCAGAGGACGAGATCAGCCGCCATATAACAGGAAAATGATTGTTACTGCCATGTCTCGCCGTTGTTATCGAGCCTCTCGTCTATGTGTGGATGCATACTCCCTTCTGGCAGGGATGCGCTTGGCTTATGTAGTTCCATAGAGAGAAAATAGTTCCTGCATGAAACTGCCCATAACAAGGTCTGTGGATTATCTTGAGTAACCGAATCATGATTTCTGTAAAGAGACATTGTTGTTGAGATTTTCAAATGTATTATTTTGGCACTTTGAGCACCACAAGCCGAGTGTCATCTACTTCCATTATACTGGACAGAAGGCAGACATCTCTATGGCTGATATCTCCAACACTCAGCAACTCACATCAAAACTATCTAAACTAAACTCTGCAGGTAAGAGGAAAAAATGTGTTATGATTTTGGGGTGAACTGTCCCTGCGACGTATTTTGGATGATTTGTTGTGTTAGTGACGGAGACAGAATTTTGATGTGACGTCTGTTTCTGTGTGTTTCCTGCAGAAAGACTTGATCCACACCGTCGGGGAGAGCGCTGCTCTGGGAGCTGCAGGATTCGTCATCTGGGGGGACCTGAACCTGACCTCATCCAGGGTATGTGTCCTTTGCCTGAAAGCCCCCCGAAATCTTTACCCTCTCTTATTCTCTGTGAACAGTCTCACAGAGGGGAAAGACTCGCTCTGTCAGCTCATGATTCATTGATTTAGACGAATATTTATATAGAGGTCATACATTGTGGGAGTCAAACTTTCTCTTGTATAATTTGCGCCGTGGAGACAGATAAAATTTGACTGGGTACTTTCATGTGAAAAACATTCCTTCCTCAGGCCTCTTGATTTGTGTCAGACTCCAAACAAACCACAGCAGTAAATATAGTCAGACAATAGAAAGTTGACATCATGTGGTCGCAGCGCATTGTGAAAGCACTCTTTCAACCACATTTTGAAAACTATAATGCCCATGTTTTTACAGCCTGCAGTGATCCTGTCTGCATGGAAAAGAGTTAATCGAAACAGCATGTGACTGTTTCAGAATCTCAGAGAGTGTTCCTGAGTAAATCTGCAGCTGCTCTTCAAAAATTTGAAATTCAGTTTGCAATTTGCACATCTGATATCCTGCAATGTCACCCACCTCAACTCTTAAAACCTGCTCTATCAGCTTGGTTTGGACAATCTGTAGTTAGCTGCCAGACCTGATGTCAGCTATCATTTTCTTGGTACTTAAATGCCATACGATCACAGGGCTGACACATAGAGACAGACAACCATTCACACTCACATTCACACCTACGGACAATTTAGAGTCACCAATTAACCTGCATGTCTTTGGACTGTGGGAGGAAGCTGGAGCACCTGGAGGAAACCCACGCTGACACAGGGAGAACATGTCAGAGCACCTGGAGGAAACCCACGCTGACACAGGGAGAACATGTCAGAGCACCTGGAGGAAACCCACGCTGACACAGGCAGAACATGCAAACTCTGCACAGAAGGGCTCCCCCACTCAGGGTTCAAACTCCACCACCTTGGATTCAAACCGTGAAACCTGCAAAATGCAGGTTTAAGACAATGCCTTAAACCTGCATTCTTCCTAATGGCCAGCAGGGGGCGACTGCACTGGTTGCAAAAAGAAGTTTTGCATTGAAGTCTGTTAAACAATAAGCCCACTTCTCACTTGATTTGACCTCTGTAAACATTAGCTCTGGAGACAAACCTCTGTCTGTCCAAACGGAAGTTTATATTGAAAGACTCTGGAGGAGGTTTTGACACAGAAACTGACATTTCCAGAATTTATACTAGAGGGCTACCTAGAGCACCCCCTGATGGCTGGCTGTGGTATAGGCCATAAACCCCACCCATCAGTGGATGGGACATGGGCCAGACTAAAAACTTAAAGTACATGTCCAATAGATTTTTACCAAAGATGGTTTCTTTGGGTTTGCAATTACCTCAGGATCAATGGCGCTGCTTGTGATTGGTTAGAAGGTGTGTGGGTAGGAACTCAACACCACAGAGATTGCTACTGCACAGACTCTGGCTCCAAATGACATCATCAGCATAAAATGACAGCGGCTGTATCCGGGATATATCTGCTTTTATTTTTCAATGACAGGAAGTGGAGATGTGTAGTCTGTCTATATATACAGTCAGTGTTTGGGAGTGAGAACATGTTGCACGTGACTCAAAGTGCATCACATGATGACTCCTCTGTGTTTTGTTCCAACAGCATAACTGCACCAAGGTGAAAACCTTCCTGAGCCACCGCCTCGGCCTGTACATCACCAACGTGACACGTGCCGCTGAGGTCTGTAGTGACTTCCTGTGCCAGGGGAACGGCCGCTGCATCCGTCGGGACCCCCTCGCCCATCATTACCTCCACCTGAGTGCCTCCAGCTATCACATCCGGCCCACTGACAACGGGGACTTTACTGTCACTGGGTGGCACTCGCAGCATGAACTGGAGCTGCTGACGGAGAGGTTTCGCTGCCACTGCTACGAAGGCCACGAGGGCGAGCGCTGCGACAGCATCAACAAAGTGAAGGAGGATGACGGGCCGTGGAGGGAGGAGGAGGAGGATGAGCAGGAGAGGCGGAGGACAGAGTGGGAGGATGAGCAGGGTGAAGGGTGGGAGGGAGGGGAGAGTGAGGCGCCGCTGATCGGCTGCAGCCTTCACCTGATGGTGCTGATGCTCCTGTTGAACTTATGGTTAGTAAAGACGGTCGTATGATGCACTCTGACTAAAGGAGGAGTCACAAATGTTACTTTTCAACACACAGGCAGACAGACAGGTCGTTGGTTGGATTTGAACTGAGAACGTAACCGTTTCACCCGATGCACCAGCAGCAGCAGCCGCTTTAAAAGATTTACCAAATGTATCCATGAATCTAGTGAAAGTTTTTTACTAAACAATTATCATTTTTGCTGCTTCCGTTTTTGCCCAATAACACAAACTAACTGATGGAGGCAGCAGGAGACCAGCAGCTCCTGTGTTCAGCAATGTTAAATTACAGTTTTTCAATGGAGTCTGGCTTTGGAGAGAGCGATATAATGGCTTAATTTTCCTGTTGGAAATCGCTTTCTGAAATTAAGTTAAAGCAATGAAAGTATTCTAAATATAGCGTACACTTAAACTGATAACGATTTCTTTAGGTGCCTGAAATACGTTTTGTTGCTGACCCCTTCACAGCAGCACATTGCTTGGCTTCTGTGTCAGTACTGTGGCCTGCTTCTCCAAACTGGGGCATGCCGACTATCATCTACTGTAAGTACCTCATACAGTCCCACAAAAAAAGATCTGAACTATCTCTTTAATATTCAGCTGCTGAGTGAGAGAGAAACTATTAAAGTGAACGGTGTTCAATGTGAACTCAAAACAGGTGCTGCGTTGAAAAGTAACACGTGTAAAAAAGGAGTGTGATGGCACTTTACATGACAGGACATGAGGTTTGGCATGTTGACAAATGAAGGTTTGGTTAATTCAGTACAATCAGGTGAACTGTAATTAACCTATGCAACAAACCTCCTGCAAAGACTCGATCATCCAGCGTCACTGCAGAGCCGATGGTCTGATCAGAGGGATCGTGTTTTAACTGCTCGCTGCAGGATGACTCTCTAATTTGTTTTGTGGAGACACAACAGTCAAATCATTCAATAGAAACCAAAGAGTGCTACTACCACTCAGTCATATGTAGGAAAATAATCACTAACATTTGGGGGGCTGATTTGTGGTGGTTTTGATTTCAGATGGCACAAAACTTGTTTTTCTCCTCAACAATAAGCTCTTATTTTACTTGACATTATACATGAAGTGTGTATTTTTTTTGATTTTTTTTTTTTTGTACTGTTGCTTACATCATACTCTCGAAATACGGCATGTCAGGAAACGCCACATATTTGAGCCTGTTGGGACATGGCGTGCACATGTTGTAGGTGCTAATGATTTCAGAATATTATGTATCTGTGTCCTCTCTATATCGATATAAGTAAAGAGGATCAGGTTTGTTTTTCAGTGATTACGTAGAGATTGATTTCACTATATCTCAGTTCGGACGATTCAGATCACGCAGACTGTGTTGTCAGTTTTTGATGATGTTTCATCTTGTTGTGACTGAGTGGACCAAAGTGTCTCTGAAGCCGATGTACAGTACTGTAGGTATGACGAAACACTGAACAGGATGTAAAAGACGGCACATACTGTATCTGAATACATGACTCAGCAGCTCTCTGTGGTTCTGCAGTTCTTTAACACCTACTTGTTACCAAAGAGGAATCATCTCCTGCAAAAATATGACGAAGTAGAAGACTGCCATTAGACTGAAGCAGGTTAGAGGGTCTGACACTTTATACCAAACAGAGTCCACAGAAACTGTTCTCACTGTACTGTTAATGCCTCCAGTTGGTTTGATGTTCTGTCTCTTTCTCTGTCTTGATTATTGTTTACCTGGACCAATCCAGGTTTAATCCAAGAGCAGCTAACTTCAGAAGGATGCAGGGTTATTACAGTTAAAGCCCCAGTGTGTCGGATTCAGGGGGATATATGGGAAGAAATGGAAAATAATCTGATAAGTCTGTTTCCTTTAGTGTATAATCACCTGAAAATAAGAATCATTGTGTTTTTGTTACCTTAGAATGACACGTCTACACAGGGAGCAGGTCCTTGTCTGCAGAGATCACCATGTTGCACTGTCACGTTTCTACAGAAGCCCAGAACACACAAACCAAACACTAGCTCCAGATAGGGTCATTGGCATCTTCTGCATCAGCCACCATAGTTCACAGCCCCTCCACAACAAGAGCATTGGAAAAACACAGATTTTTTTAACGTGAAACTGCTTTATTCAGTGTTTTTACCGGTTTAAATCATCAGGGGTCTCATTTATAAAACAGTGTGTGGGATCTACACTAAAAACCCACAGACAAAAGCCTAAAATGATGTGCGCCAAAAAATATTTGACCTTTCACCTCACCATCCGTGTCTCCAATTTCCTGTCTCCAAAATGTTCATAAGCATGGGTCAAAGTTTCTTCCATGAAGTCTGTTTTTATCGATCACAACTTCTGTGTGGGAAGTGCTGACGCCTCGTTCAGGCCTCGTTTTGTGCGTATGCAGTATTTAAACATGAGACCCATGGTCCGTTTATTTTGGAGAGGAAGAGACCTCTGAGGATAATTCAGCCGAATTATCAGAATTAACAGAATCCAAATCAGGAGTAATTTCAGTCCTCACTGCTAGTCACCACTAAATCTCCCTAAATTTTACACTTAACTAAAGCCTCAAATTTGATATGAAAAAATTTACTTAACTAAAATAAAAACAAACTACACTTAAAGAAAAGAAAAATACTGAAACGTTGCTATGCGCTAACAGAACAAACTATATGAAATTAAAAATATACAGGAAACATCTTTAGTTTTAGTCTTTGTCATCTTGGTCAAATGTGTCAACACGACAAACATGACAAGGCACTGGCACATGTGGTTACTGAGACTGAGGCGTCAACATGACTGAGTCAACTTCCACAAAGCGTTGTGTTTGTATCGTCTTGTATCTCGCCCCTGACAAATAAGCCCCACATTACAATATACAAAAATAGAAAAATGGAAACTGAAACTAATAAAAACTAAACTTTTTTTAAGAATAAAAAATAAACTAAAACAAGCAAAGCCACCCTGGAAACTGACTGAAAATAAACTGCACTAGGACCAAAAATGAAAAACAAATGAAAAATGCAAAACTTGAATAACTCTGGTCGGAAGTGACAAAACGATCTCCACTTGATATTTGTTTCCTCACTCTGATGCTTTCGACCTTCATCAGCACATGAAGTTTTCTTAGTCATCATAAAACAGTAAATGTTTAAACTTTAACTTTCATAAATGAACATTAATTTTCTAGCATGGTACCCATGTCCTAGTTTACTGTCAGGCTTTTGATTTATTACTTGACTTTTGCAAAGATTGGAAACTCTACTTTTCCATCATGTTTGTCCTCTAAAATATGACTGGTGCCGTCATAACTTCCTCCTCCTGTCAAAGGAAGAATCCCACTGGACGCATGTTGTGAAAGGCTGAGTATTCCAGGCCAAAGTTTAATTTACATTGCTGGTGTAAGGTCAGGTCGGATGATTGACGCAAATCATGTGACTCTTATTTTAACCACGATTGCAGTCCTTCCTTAACCTTAACAAAAGTCATGTTAGTAACATAAACTTAGTCAAAACTTGACTATAAAAGCGGCAGCGCAGAAAACAGTCACATGGATGATGTCATGTATGTGACTAGGTTTAAGCGTTTGTGTGCTCAGAAAACTACTGGTCTGATTTAATAAAACTTGGTGAAATGGTGAAGCATGGGCGCAGGAAGGACCCATTCAATTTTGGAGCAGATCAGAATCACAGGACAGATGCAGGAATTATTTTTCACTTCGCATTAAACATTAAACATTCATTCACAGCTTCCACATCGGGACGACGTTATCAGCTGCGCTATCAGTACAAACAACTATAACCGTGCTGACAGAGCTAACAGTGATCGATCAAACCACACTGCTGTATGAGCACCGCTCTCCCTCGCACAGTGCAGAGCGGCAGCAGTTAGCCTGTCAGTGGGGACGTTAAGAACGGTTTGCTGCTAAATTGATGTTCTTAATGCCATGTATTGCACCTTCAACATTACAAGATGAGGCTCTCTGAGTGTTCTTCTAGATTGTAATCGTTTTGGAAAACACCAGAAACGATTTTGCTCTTTAATTAGGAGCATCAGATCAGAACAAATTGGTCTGGAGGGCAAAGACATATGATAGTTTTGAGGCTTGTTCAGGTCAGGAGAAGTGCTTTCTCACTCAAGTTAAAAAAAAAAAGTAAACTAGCGCAACTAGAGATGTGTCCTCAGATCAGTTTGTGCCACCTCAACTCGGTCTCACTCTGAAATCAATGACTGGCTAGAGACGCTGACGAAAAAGTCGTCCTTTCACATTGGCGTGATACACCGCCGGTCGCTGTTATTGTTTAATGGTGCCTGGCAGTGTTAGGGGAAACAACAATGGGACAACAATGAAAGTTAAGATGGCAGGTGTCCAAGGAGGGCAGGCAGGACGGGTGATGGATGGGTCCAACAATCCGACTTCCGATTGTAAAGCCAAACCCTGTTAATTCTTGTGTGTGTGTTTGTTGTTGGAGGACAAAAACGTCAATTTGCAGTGTTTTACTGACATAGTGCTTTTATTTTGAAAACAGCCAATACATGTAACAAGCTGAAGTTGTCACGGCATCCCAGAACGTCATCAACCAACGCAGCCAGGGTACCGTGCACTTCATATCTTGATGTGGAAAGTCCGTGACCAAACATCAATATGTGACGAAGTCGGAGTGAGAATGAGTTGGCCAACTAGAGCAAGTCCATTTCCACTTTGTTTACAATCACACCACTCTTAAATTTCTCTTGGCGCTCAGTCTGAACCCACTTGTATGTTTAAACTACAGCATTTCTTTTATAGCATCTGCACACAAAGAGCTCAGTCACTGTCAACTGGAATTTGAAAACTGTTCTGAGTTCCAAACCAAATTTACCACAGACCAGAGACCTGGAGCATTTACAGTCAAACCAGACCCACAACAGAGGTGGACCTGAGACCCGGTTCAGTGTCATGTCATCCCAAATACGTATAATAAAAGCTGAGTTTCGGGTCTTTAACGTTAAACATGTAGCATCTGTGACGTGTCATTGTCACACCAACCCTGGTTTAAAGTGAATCAGTACTTTGATCTCACACCAGCCTTCAGGTGAAGTTCAGGTCTGTAGGGTTTCACTTCTCTCATCATGCTGCAGTAACTCTTTCCTGCACTTCCTGTGTTTTTTTTCTCTGAAGATTGTAAACCAAATATGCAACAAGGACTATGCAACACATGTAATGTTACCTGAATGTAAATGCACTGCAAATAAAGACTTTTCTTCACTACACCTGTGTGTCTATATTATTTCTGCACACATAACATGGACTTCAGAGGAGTTGTTGAAGAAACAACTTTTACTTTGTGCAACATGTATGACGAACGTTAGAGCCTCTAAAGTATTCCAGCCTGCAGACTTCAGTCTTCTTGGTGAAACATACCCTGAGCAAGAAACTGAAGAACGATAAAAGCCAAACCCAAAAACCTGAATCACCAAACCAGCTGCCTTCAGTCCAAATACTGAGGGCTGAAAAGAGGAAGAGGCGCGGACGGAGAGGTTACACTCACTGAATTTCTCACAGATGATGACACATGAAAAATACCACACATTGAAAAACCTCTGAGTGTTACATCTGAAACATCCGTCTCTCATCCTTTCATTCACTCTCAAACTGTTTCAATATGGGGCAGAAATCTCAGGAGCTGAACGAACAAAAAATGATATTGATCATTTGATGTGTGATATGGGGAAAGTAAGTCCTCAATTGTTTATTTGTTGGACACGTAAAAAAATGCTAAAGATTTTCCCTTCAAAACATTTTCTAAGGTCAGTTATTAAACTTCAGAGGCCTCAGAACAAAAAATGAATACAAAGGCAATGGTTGAGTCATCAGTGAATCACTGGTGTGGATCAACAGCACCATCGACAACCTTTTGCAACGAGGCAACACTGGCAGAACGTTACGGCCAAGGCTGGACCCTTAAAGTCCAAAATAAATTAACTCCATGGACACTTTGTGAACTACTTAACCACATAGCATCAATCACGGAAATGCAACCATCTCCTCAGTATGGCTTTACTGTACTTAAAGCTGAGGTGGGCAGAAATCTGTATAGCACAAAAAATAAATGAAGAGTGGCAGAATTTCAAAACACCACCCTCCTCCTGCAGCTCTCGCCTCTCTGTCTTAAGCCCCTCCCACCAGACAATCACTTCATACAGTAACCCAGTGTTTGCAATACATTCATTTATTTCATCTTATTTCATATTAGAGATCCCTCTCTGTTCATCAGACCACAAACGAGATAAGAATCAGCTAGCTAGCCGGCCAGTGGTCCCTCCACTGCACTCCACTGATGGGAGGAAAGCAGGTCGCAGCTTGGGAGATTTGATTCGGTGTAGATTTGCAGTAATGATTGGTAATATGTACAGTACAGGCCAAAAGTTTGGACACACCTTCTCATTCAATGCGTTTTCTTTATTTTCATGACTATTTACATTGTAGATTCTCACTGAAGGCATCAAAACTATGAATGAACACATGTGGAGTTATGTACTTAACAAAAAAAGGTGAAATAACTGAAAACATGTTTTATATTCTAGTTTCTTCAAAATAGCCACCCTTTGCTCTGATTACTGCTTTGCACACTCTTGGCATTCTCTCCATGAGCTTCAAGAGGTAGTCACCTGAAATGGTTTTCCAACAGTCTTGAAGGAGTTCCCAGAGGTGTTTAGCACTTGTTGGCCCCTTTGCCTTCACTCTGCGGTCCAGCTCACCCCAAACCATCTAGATTGGGTTCAGGTCCGGTGACTGTGGAGGCCAGGTCATCTGCAGCAGCACTCCATCACTCTCCTTCTTGGTCAAATAGCCCTTACACAGCCTGGAGGTGTGTTTGGGGTCATTGTCCTGTTGAAAAATAAATGATCGTCCAACTAAACGCAAACCAGATGGGATGGCATGTCGCTGCAGGATGCTGTGGTAGCCATGCTGGTTCAGTGTGCCTTCAATTTTGAATAAATCCCCAACAGTGTCACCAGCAAAACACCCCCACACCATCACACCTCCTCCTCCATGCTTCACAGTGGGAACCAGGCATGTGGAATCCATCCGTTCACCTTTTCTGCGTCTCACAAAGACACGGCGGTTGGAACCAAAGATCTCAAATTTGGACTCATCAGACCAAAGCACAGATTTCCACTGGTCTAATGTCCATTCCTTGTGTTTCTTGGCCCAAACAAATCTCTTCTGCTTGTTGCCTCTCCTTAGCAGTGGTTTCCTAGCAGCTATTTGACCATGAAGGCCTGATTGGCGCAGTCTCCTCTTAACAGTTGTTCTAGAGATGGGTCTGCTGCTAGAACTCTGTGTGGCATTCATCTGGTCTCTGATCTGAGCTGCTGTTAACTTGCAATTTCTGAGGCTGGTGACTCGGATGAACTTATCCTCAGAAGCAGAGGTGACTCTTGGTCTTCCTTTCCTGGGTCGGTCCTCATGTGTGCCAGTTTAATTGTAGCGCTTGATGGTTTTTGCGACTCCACTTGGGGACACATTTAAAGTTTTTGCAATTTTCCGGACTGACTGACCTTCATTTCTTAAAGTAATGATGGCCACTAGTTTTTCTTTAGTTAGCTGATTGGTTCTTGCCATAATATGAATTTTAACAGTTGTCCAATAGGGCTGTCGGCTGTGTATTAACCTGACTTCTGCACAACACAACTGATGGTCCCAACCCCATTGATAAAGCAAGAAATTCCACTAATTAACCCTGATAAGGCACACCTGTGAAGTGGAAACCATTTCAGGTGACTACCTCTTGAAGCTCATGGAGAGAATGCCAAGAGTGTGCAAAGCAGTAATCAGAGCAAAGGGTGGCTATTTTGAAGAAACTAGAATATAAAACATGTTTTCAGTTATTTCACCTTTTTTTGTTAAGTACATAACTCCACATGTGTTCATTCATAGTTTTGATGCCTTCAGTGAGAATCTACAATGTAAATAGTCATGAAAATAAAGAAAACGCATTGAATGAGAAGGTGTGTCCAAACTTTTGGCCTGTACTGTACGTTGATGCTGTCCAGCGTCAAGTCTGTATTTGAGCATGTGACGATACTAGAAAATATATGGTAACTCTTTCAACACTAAATCTGTACTACTGTACACCACTGATGACAGCAGCAACAGAAAGTTAGCTGATCTGGTGGGACGTCGAAGTTTGCATCGGCTGGATCCAGGTTGCTGCACCCGCTGACTGGAGGTCCAGAGCTGCTGCCCACTCTCCTCCCAGCAAGGTGGTCTGTAGAGGGCTGTTTCAAGACACTCTGGGGGCCCCAGGCAAGAGGCACCTTGGAGAACCCCCCCCCCCCCCATTGTGAGGGACAATGTGGGACAGTGCAAAGTTTTAGTTTTTCATCAGAGACTTGTCACAGCACCAAAATTGGGACCCACAGTACGATACCAGTGAAAGTATCACGGTTCTGAGCAGTATCACGATACCACAGCAAAAATGAGGCAGATGTGCCTTTTGTCATTTATAAAAAGATAAATCACTTTTCTATAATAACTTATCTCACAGTAGTGGTACCTGAGGTACCGTAGTACTACGGTACTCCAACAATGCTAGCGCGGGTAGCAACCGATCATGCAGGACATGGTCTCAATTTGTGTGACGCGTGAAAAGAGACAGAAATGCTGTGCAGTCCTGCACAATGCTGGACGTCTGGTCACCCTACTTCCAGGCAATTGCCTAGTTTGCCTGTCCGGTTGCGACGGCCCTGGGTCTGTAGAGGCGGGGAGTGAGGTGGAGGACACACTGTGATTCAAGGCTCTCGCTAACAGTGGCTCCATAAATTTGAACTTGAAGCTGCAGCCGTGGCCCCTTGGCCCCAGTTAGCAGAAGGCTAAATGCATCATGAGTTAGATTTTCTAAAGCCTGAAAACAGAGCCGAGAGGAGGTGCAGAAGTCCAGTTTTCTCTCTGAACACTTGAGTGATTTTTGCTCAGTATACAAAAATAAAACTGCATACCCCAGCTTCAATCAGAAAAGAGGACAAAGCTCACAGAGAGATGACTGACGATTAATGAAAGAGACTATAATCACTACAGTGAGTGCAACAGGCTTAAAACATAAATAAAATACTGTCGGCTAACACACTTCTTATACAATTAGCAGCAGAATAAAATATGACTGAGCCCAGAGGAGGAGGCACCATCAGGTCTTGTTACAGGCCAAATCAAACAACTACAGTACCTTTCATCTAAAGAATACACTGAACAAATAATAATCTATCAGCCACAGAATAAGAAGGTTTCCACTGGCAGAGGCAAGGCCTAGAGAAGTCAGAAACAAGTGTCATTCAGTGCCATTAAAATATCAGTTATTTCACTGCCATTATATCAGATCATATCAAATATCAGATGTTTTAAATACAAAAAACAAAATAACTTCAAACCAGGCAAAAATAATTTACAACATCAAAATGAGGATCAAATCAACAGGGTTATTAACACAGCTGGGCCTGTAAACTGATCCCCAAACCTGAGGACTGCTACTCACTCCACACTTTAACACTACAAACACTGCAGTATAGAAATAGAGAAGTGAAGCAAAAGGCACACTTAAGGTGACTTTAAGTGACACGTCGGCCCCAACAGAGCCGCAGTAATGAGGGAAGTCTAATGTCACACCAGGCAAAATTCAGAAAGAAGTGTTTTTATGACTGTAGGCAGAGATGTGCAAGAAAACATCCAAATGCATCTTGTTAACTGACTTAAAAGATAATGGACATCACCCGTTGGTTTGTGGACTGACGTTTTGAAGCCTCGAGTTCAGCATTTCGGAGATTCAGGGGTGCATCTGACAGAAGCCGAGGACAGCCGACAGCTGAAACTTAAATAGGTGAAACTTTAAGCCTTCATAAAATAAAAAAATGGTTCATATTAAAAGAGTCACCCCTGTACAGCTGTCATGAAGGAGGAAATTAGCTCTAGAGGCCAAATCCGTTTTTTTTGTACCAGGCTGTAAACATGTTTATTTCTGCTGTAAAGTTGGGCATTTTAACATGGAGGTCTGTGGGGATTGACTCGCTTCTGGAGCCAGCCTCTAGTGGTCATTAGAGGAACTGCAGTTTTGGCACTTTGATGTTGGCTTCATTTTTCGGCCCTGGAGGTTTCCACTTGTTGTAAACCAAAAATAAAAAGCAATGTGTTACAAAATGCTGCTTTTAGGTACTGTGCACTTCAATAAAATCTGTCATGCCATGTATTTATCCATTAACTACCTTATTTATCATCTCCCAAATGTCTTTGTTCATCATCTATACTTCCACTGACTTCATTAACGAGGCCCCCCAAAATAAAAAAAGTCCTCCCATCTGTTGCTTTTTTTGAATTATTTTATTTCACTACTCTATTTATGCGCCTATCTCTGTATCTCTCTTTCAGTCCAATAAGCTTTATTGGCATGACGTTTCTTTTGTGTTGCCAAATCACAGTTACAATTTAAGACAGTGAAAATTCAAAAACAATTAACAACAATGTATTGTTACAAAATCATAGTCAAACACTTTAAAGGGGAAAAAACAAATTAAGTGAAGGAGTAAATAAAGAGGCAGAGTGTGATTTGTGATGAGATGAACTGTATGTTTTTATAAATTGTGTTGGATGTCGATGAGATAACGATCAATCAGAGTGAAGAAACAGTTTCCTCTCACACATGAAGCAGCAAAAAAACAGAGACGTGGCGAAGTTTAGAAACAGTGAACAGTCCGTCAGAGGAGAGCAGCAGGTAGGAACTGATGACATGCTGTCAGAATATGGAAATATGGTTTTTAAATATGTATTGTACTGACTGTATCTGATATCTGATGCGACAAAGGTGGTTTATTAGATATATATAATGTGGAATTATTTATCTGAAGATTTGTCTTTTGGAGTTTCTGCAAATTTTGTAGCCTGGCTTGTTCAACTGTTCATTTAGCTTCCCAAATATAATGTACTGTTAAACTGTAAATGTATAACAGATATAACATATGATATCGAGCTATAACGACCAAAAACATCTGGTGAAATCACAAGCATCGTCTCTAGTGGCCGCAATGAGCTTCTGTCGGCCGCATTGCAGCAGCAACACAGTGCAGCGGCACCTGGTGGTATCCAGGGGCAGTGCTGGGGAATCATGAATAACATATCTATGCTAGTGGTTTTACTATATTTTTAGCTTGCTGGTCGTCATCAACATCTACATCATCTACGTTTGTGGAGTGATTCAAATGGTTAAATAGAGTTTTTTTTTATATTTTATTTTTCATTATTTAGTTGTTAACTAATGAATCTACAAACAATTTTAGTTCATATAGGTAAAAGAAAGATTTTTTTATTTTTATTTTACTGTTGCTTCTCTACCACAATTGAACTCCTTTAAAGTCTGGTGTGTACAGGCTGTTTTACAGAGGCTGACTATTATCTTGTGTGTACGAGTTATTATCTTGCATGCACAACATAATAACTTAGAAGATGAATAAGTTGTTTCCAAAAGATATTTGACTTCTTCGCATGAAATAATTTTTTGTGCACACAAGATAATTCATTTGTTCCGACATTAACACGTGCACAAGATTAAAAAACGTACCCTTTGGGCCTTTCAGGGCTCCTCAGGATGCAGAGCGGGAAAGAGCCAGGGTGTCAGAGATTCAATCTGGACTGAACCTTATTTACTGTCGTTCCTTCATTTGTCCAGAGCCATCATGATGACCTCAAGCTTCCGGTCCTGCATTGTCCTCAGTCTCATCGGATCTATCGCCACCATTCTCACACTGCCACCTACTGAGCCGCCACTGATCCATGACCACCCCTTTGTAGCCATATGGAACGCCCCCACTGAGCAGTGTCGACGACTCCAAATCCCACTGGACACTGGCGCCTTCCAGGCAGTGACCACACCCGCCCCAGTGCCCGGTCAGTTCCTCACCATCTTCTACGAGGACCGCCTCGGTCTGTACCCTAAAGTTGATGTCGACAAACGCAAGCAGTACAGAGGTGGAGTCCCCCAGAACGGCAATCTGACGGAGCACCTGGCCAAGGCCCAGATTCAAATTGATCACTCCATCTCCCAGGATTCCTCCCCTGGGCTGGCTGTCATCGACTGGGAGTCCTGGCGCCCCCTGTGGGACCAGAACTGGGGATCGAAGCGTATCTATAAGAAGCTGTCCATCTCTCACGCCCTGCAGATGGCCCCATTTTTGTCATCAAATAAAATTTCCAAACTGGCAAAAATGCAGTTCCAGCGCGCTGGGCGGCGCTTCATGGAGAAAACCATCAGCCTTGGCATTGGCGAGCGTCCAAGCCGCCGCTGGGGCTTCTACCTGTTCCCTGACTGCCACAACTATGCCTGGAGTAAGCCCGACTACACAGGGAAGTGCTCTGCGAAGATCCAGAAGCAGAATGACCAGATGCTGTGGCTGTGGGAGCGCAGCACCGCCCTCTTCCCCTCAATCTATCTTCACCAGAACCTGAGGAACTCCCCCAAGGCCACGCTCTATGTCCGCAACCGTGTCCAGGAGGCGCTGAGGGTGGCCATGCTGCCGAAACGTCCTTACACCATGCCAATCTACGTCTACTCCAGGCCACTGTACCGGGACCAGACCCAAAAGTTCCAGAGCCAGGTGATTACTTGAAAACAGGAAAGAGTTCTATTGTATACAAGAAATGTAGGCTCTAAAGAAATTGCATTAAATATCAATGTACACACAAGTGTAAACATCCTCACCAACATGATCGCTTATGTCCAAACTAACATTAAATTCCATCTCTGCAGATGGCACTTTTCAGCCTCTACATTCAACTAATAATTGGTCAATTTAATTTCACTGGAATTACCTAGTAAAGAGACAAAACTCAGACCAACAATCATAGAGAGTCTATGGACAAAAAGCTAAATTAAGTTGCATAAATAACCCGACACTTCTTATAGCAGAAAAAATCATCACCAAAGCAGACAACATGGAGCAATTTGAACAATATAAACTCCAAAGCGGCTGCAGCCACAAACCTACAGCAAAGGACAGACTGCACAGTTAAACACCTCGTAGCAGCCCACGCTGTTGTTGACATTCTCATTTGGAGAGTGAGTTCTAAGACTTTCTTACTGTACTCACCTGTCTGAGGCTGCTTTCACACCTGCCCTGTTTGACTCAGTTCAATCGAATTCAAGTTCTTTTGCCCCCTAAGTGCGGTTCGTGTGGGCAGGTGTGAACACAGAAATTGCACTATGGTGCGCATGACAACAACCGGACCAAGACCACCTCTTCAAGAAGGTCTCGGTCTGGTTACAAACAAGCTGGTGTGGTTTGTTTGTGGTTTCAAACTGTATGGTTTGACTAAAATGAACAATGACAGCAATATAGTCCACGATGAGCAGCGCTAAAATCAACCTGCGTAGTTGTCCCTCCATTGTGACATTAGAAAGTGTCACATTTATCTTGCAAGTGTACTCTTCTTCAACGTTTGCTTTACTTCCTGGATTTTTCCCACATGGAAATTCTGACCAATCAAGAGCAGCTTTCTCACACAAGGCATTTGATCTGGTCCTCTTGTAAATGCTGCCGTGAGAACACCAACCAACTCTGGGCAATTAGTGAAAACAGAAGTCACCACTGGAGGATCCATTGTGAGCATTTTTGCATGTTGGCCCAACCCATCATGCTCCTGGGTGATACCTTATTGTAAGCGTGTTTGATTTGGGTGATTCAGCATGCTTGCCGGGTGGAGCATTCAATGAGTAATTAATTAACATAGATGCAACCTTTTTTATCATTGCCGAGGAACGGTGACCCATAACCCATAAAGACGACTAATCGGCCCAGGTGTGACCATCATTCCACTCCCCTCCAATCCCCTGACCCCCAGCCGATGAAAGTGAACATTTACAACGTGTGTCTCCTCCAGGCTGTCAGCTGAGTGCTGAGTCACCTCTCAGGAGCTCTGCCCTCCTGCAGCCACAGACACACCTGCAGCTTCTTCTCTGCAGCAGCTGCTCATTTATCTCTTTTCTTCAGGACTGATTCACAGGACTTGTTTTTACTCAGTAACAACTTGAAATGTAGCGTAGTACAACACTTGTGATAAAAAAGTACTCAAGTAAAAGTAAATCACTGTTTCTAAAAATACTCAAAAGTACAAGAACCCACACAAAAAAACACAACATAAAGAGAGTACATGTAATTCATTACTTCCCCCCCTGATGAACACTTATTAAATTACTCATACACCAAGCTTAGGTTCGTATCGCAGTCAGGCACTGTTTGATGATTTGTCCATGCAGATCCTTTCCAGATTCTCTCTCTGCATTCATGAGCTCCACTGTCTGAAAAATCAAACCTGGAAAACAAACAACAAATATAGTTGCTATTAACCAACAGCTGGGGCTGACATATCTGTGCTGACATTAGTTTCATTCTGTGGTAGTGTGGCAAGGAGCTGTTAACTCTTTGTTGTGTTGATTAAAAAAATATCTAACTTTAAGTGTTGTTATTTCTGCAAGTTGATTTAAAACAAACCTGAACAGCTGCAAACATGTCATCCACACTTATTTTTAACATAACAGATATAAACAGGTAGCTACAGGCCCCTAGTCTTAATTCTGCTATGACCATCTGATTGGCTTGGCTGCTTTTTAATCAAGTTAAAAGCCACTGATAAGCGAAACACCAGCGCCATTTGAATTGCTGTTAAAGGATTATCTATCAGCAGCAGTCTCTGTTACGGCTGCGACTGTATGAGATTTTCACGGTGCGATGATCGTCTCAGAAAATATTGCTGTTTAACGGTATCACAGAATTATTATCAGTCACAATGAGTTTTTAATGGAAGTATGTGTAAAAACCCTCCCTTTTGAAAATAACCAAAAGTTGAGCTTTTCTGTCCAGTTTTTTTCTTCAATATTGTAGATAAGCAAATATACAAGGTCAGTTATAGCAATCAATTTTAATATCATGGTACTGTATACTTTACAACAGGTATATCGTTGCAACCCTAGTCTCTATACACTGACTTTTACAGAAATTCTGTTGTTGACGAGAGAAAAATTAAAGCAATTTAAAAAGTGAAACGGTCTCATTCACAAACAGTGAATCAAATCTGTTCATAAACCACGCGTACACGGTGTGCTGCACCTGTGTGTATACTTGCTGCAGCACGATGTTCGTCGACGCAGCCAAAACGCCTGATACTGGTGGTCTCCACTAGGGGCAGACCACAGCACTCAGACACAGAGGTTGCGAAAAGCGAAGAAGGCGGTGACAGTGTATTTCCAGATAAACACAAACACGGACACTCTCGATGAAGAGGAGATCATATTTTTATTGCTGTTAAGATCTCGGCAGAGGAAAAGGCGTCGTCTCCGTCGCCATCGGAGATGGTATGTGCGGCCCCTTAACCAATCACATGGGGAGTTTGTTTCCCTTGTTTTACCCATGTGAGCAATCGATGAGGAAAAGCACAGGGAATTCTTCTTTGGAGTTTTTTACGGCGGTTGGCATCCGTTACGTTGCATTACCGCCATCTTCTGGGTCTACCTTGCTCCTACATCCTTCATTCCATTATATCCTTTTCACCAGTCCACCTCCGACCTCACATTCACAGTCTCTAGGTATACTTCGCACGAGCGCCTCTAGTGTTCATGTCAATATTGCATCTCGCATACGCGTCACGCTACCTTGCAGCAAAATGTGCAGTCTATGTGCCAAACGACCACAAAATACATGTGGCAGCCAAACGTGCACGCAAACTGCACACGTTTTGTGCAGCAAGTATACTTTAGCCTTTCGAGGGATTCTGATTCACTGACATATGCATGATGCCAAGAACAAAATCAGAAATTAGCCGGTGTGCACGTCATAATCCGATGGTTATTTTGAAGGGCGCACTTAATGAATGCGCACATATTAGTAAACGAGGCCCATCATCAGGGGCGTAAGTGTTCATCAGATCTCCTGTGTGTCTCGTCCTCTTTCAGACGGACCTGGTGAGCACTGTGGGAGAGTCTGCAGCTCTGGGAGCTTCAGGGGTCGTAATGTGGGGAGGAAGCAAAGACTACAACAACAAGGTAAACACACTGGTTGAACTGGTCTGCTCCCAGTCAAATATAGCAATATGTATGTTTAAAAGGTGGCTGTAGTCTTTTCTCTTTTTCATACATCATACACAACTGCACTTAGAGAGCTACAGGACAGCGTCTCCTCTGTTTTTACATTAGTGTTTCCTCGCTGAGCTGCAGTGGAGGTATTAAAGCTCATTTATTCTCCCTTTACGCACATACATAAATACGTCCATTTCAAATGTTGTGAATGTCACTGCCCCCATACTTCCATGTGTCCTTCATGATGGCATAGATACACCCAATAGGTGGCACTACAGGGTGGAGTCAGAAGTTTCACACAACAACGAACGAGGTAACAGTGAAGGAGGTCGTAATTTGGTACCTTTAGACGGAGACACTTGTATAGACAGCAGTAAATTTTTAATATCTTCATCGTCTCCTACAGTCCTATCTCGCTTGAACGTTGCTACTGTCTCCTCAGTCCCTGGTGGTACTGCCCTGTTTCATCCATATTTGCAAGCTTTCAGAAAACATGCACAAATATGGACGAAATGAAAGCAGAGCAGGGACATCTGGGACAGCTCCGCCCGTCTCTGTATGTAACACAAATTTTGTGTGTGAACCACTGAGATGAGGCTGCTGGTAATAACCACGACGTTGAAGCGCTGTAGACATGCTGTGCCATACTCTGTTTGCAGGCTTGAAAAGGGGAAACACAAATGACCAGGCTTTAATCAACCAATAATGAAGCTGCCTTTGTTTCCTGTTTTAGGAGGAAGTGGCAGCCATGATGCTGCAGTGTTGTTATCTCAACTGACAGATGTGAAAGATTTTTTCTGCTTCTGTGTTTGTGTTCTCTTAATTTACTGTTATTTGATGTTAGCCGTCTCCTGATTTTGTTTGCATCACAATGTCATTTAATTTATGGTATGTATATGGTACAGTGTGCGATAAGGACCATTACAATATAAATGTACTTTAAAATGTACTTTGTTACTTTGCACCACTCATCCTAACATACCAGTCTCACCTATAAACCCCGCCACCTTTCCTTAGGCTGCCTGCCAGTCTCTGTCCGAGTACCTGACGTCCACCTTCAACCCGTACATCGCCAACGTGACCGCGGCCGCCATGCTCTGCAGTGAGGTCTTGTGCCAGGCGAAGGGCCGTTGCATCAGGAAGAACTACGACTCCAGCCACTACCTGCACCTGAACCCTGCCTACTTCAGCATCCTGCGGGCTAACAGGAAGTACGTGGCGATCGGCCTTCCCTCTGCTGCTGACCTGAAGGCCTGGGCTGACAACTTCACGTGTCAGTGCTACGCAGGGTGGCGCTGTGCACCCCAACTGTCCCTGCCGACTAAAATCAAACTCATCTGGGTTTAATCTGTAATCTGAATAGATTGCATTGCTGAAGCATTATGTAGTCGGTAAAACTACTGTCTTTAATTTGCTGAAAATGTAATTTGAATCTCTGTTTATTTAAAAAAAAAAAAAAAAACAGAAAAATTTGATTCTACAAAAATTCTGTTCTACATTTTGAAAGTTTCTTTCACACATCGCAAACAATACTGATTAATTTGAAATGAAAACCAAAAGTTACCTTAATAAACGCTTTTAGAAAACAATATAGCTTTTTTGTTTGTTTTAATGGCAAACTGATGCAAAAGTCAAGACAAGATTCAATCCAGGGGCATAAATATGCAGGCAGTGTGATTGCACTGGGGCCACTGGGGTGGAGGGGCCCATAGAAAGAGCGGGCCCTTACAAGTGATTCAGATTGCCACCTTGGAAATAAACCGGTGTTCAAAGTTAAATGATAAAAAAATACATGTTATTAACACATTTGCTATATGTCTTCAAACAGCCAACCCATCTGTGTCATGGTTTTCTTTTCCTTTTTATTTTCTTAATAATCAGTAGCTATCTAAAACAAAGTTGTATGCATTTCTATATCCTCCTGAAACCTCAGCATTTGTTTATTTGTTTTTAATTTTTCTGAGCTATTTGGGACCAGTTGGACCTGATGAGTATAAAATTTAAGTGTTGTCCTCTAATAGGAAGTAGTGTTTGAAAAAAATAACATGTCCTCATATAATATTCACAAGTGTGCCAGAAAGTGTAAAAATGTTTATGTTATTAGACGATGAGTCCCAACACCCTCAAACAAGACGATGATAAACTCCCAATGTCCTGTAACAAGTACTTCCTAATAAACAGTGTCTTAGCTTGTTGCTGTTGCTAAAATTGTCAAATTCATTGCCATATCAAAGAAACATTATTAGTCATTAATTAAAAAGTTTGAACCATAAAATGTGATCAGGTTTTGGACCTTGTCCACTTTTGTCTCAGGATCAGCTGCAGACTGACTTGGCAGAGATGGCTGCCATCTTCTTTTTACAGCGATTAGTGTAGTGTTGTCTTACTACCACTAGATGGCACAAAAAGTGTCCAAAATCGAGGACAACAGGTCTGAGTTAAACATAATGAAGTTTAAGATGCAGCAAAAACAAAACGTGATGTCTTCATATGAGGACGCAGGGCCTCAGGAGGATATAAGTTATAAAATCTATAAATAGACTATATAAACTATTTAGTTAAATAAGTAATTTCTTACTTTCTTTGATACTTTTGTCAGATATGCAGTGATGATTGCTGGGTAATATGTATGGTGATGTTGTCCTGCGTCAAGTCTCTGTTTGTGTCAAGACAGTACATGCTCTGTGGCGTGCACTGGGGCCCATTGTAACTTCCTAACGCCGCTGCTTCAATCACTCAGTAGAGTTCTTTGGATTTAGACAATTTTGAAACGTGTCTTTTTGATGCTGAAAAATCTTTAAAAGTTGTATCAGAAAGGAAATATTACTGCACAATTTAAAAGTTATAAAAATGATAAAAGTCTGAAATCATTCTATGGTTAAAACAGCATGAACTACATATTTAAAGTAAGGACTTTGTTACATGTAAACACCTACAAGTTAGATACACTGGCAAGACTGAGTCAGAACACCCACAAGTTCAAGACCAACCTAAATTAAAACTCCCACTGAACTAAGACCAGTGGTGTGGTGGAGGGTATACGCAGGTATACGGGGTATACCCAGTTCTTTTTCTTTACAGTGTTTGAGGGCGAGCCTTGATAAAAGGGTTGCTGGTTGAGGCGGCAGATTATGGACTATGATTCCGGTTAGAGAATCAAGGCACTTGGAGAGAGAGATCTGATTTATCTTCTTTTAATGAGGTTGTTGGACTTTAACATTGGTGTACAACGTATGTGTGTGTGTGGTCTGAAAATAAAGAAAGGCAATAAACTGTATTACAACAAATACTCTGCATATTATTCAGCAGCTAAATCAAATAAACATTTCTAAATAAGCTGCTATATGAGCATAAGATTTTAAGGTTCACCAGTAATATCCCTAACTTATATGCAAACCGCTACTTGAGCATAATACAACAGCAGAGATGCAATATTAGTGGTGGAATAAGCAGTACAATGTCCAACATAATGGCAAAGCATGCTAAACAGCATGGGAGCCTTACACATTGAATCCACAGTAAATAATTCGACCTTTAAACTTCTATTAACAATAAGCATGGTCACAATCACACAAATAAACTGAGTTGCAATATTGGCATTACAAACGAAATATACATCATTAAATCCTCACAAGCATCCAAATGTAACTGCAGTGCTAGCAAGAGGCAGCTAGCTACTACTGAGACACAGCAGTCCAAATCACAACGCCAACACAACCGAGTCTAATCTGAGTAAAAACACACAATACAAAATTTTAGACTCGTAGTTGTCCTGGTCTTGTCAAGACAACTATGAGTCTAAATTTTTTAGCAATTTCGACACGTTAATGCCAGGTGTGACAGCGTACAGACACCTGTACAGCACAACCACACTTTTAAAGAAAAGAAGTCCAACCAGCAAGTTCAAAGGTCACCTGACTTCACTTTGTCCTCAGCAAAGTAAAAGAGATAGTTTGGATTTTTTGAAGTAGGGTTGTATGGTGTACTTATCCATAGTGAGTGTATTACATACAGCAGAGGTCTGTCGGCACGCTCACAGTTTGGAGAAGCGGCAGAAGAACTGTCATAAAAGCTAAGCAATGTACTGCTGTGGGGGGAAGCAGCAACAAAACCCTGATGAAGATGATCTAGTCCAAAAGTTGGTACTTGAATAAAAGAAAACATTTTTGCATCGAGTCTTAGAGTGTGCGCCTGACATCTTTTTTCCAGTTTGTACATTTTCGTCAATGGTCAGCACCTCTCCAACCCTGGTGTGCGCTCCTCCTCTCTTCACCGGGAAGCAGCAACAAAACATATTTCAGCCACCTAAAAAAATCAATATCACTTTAAGTGTACGCTAAATTGAGAGTATTTTCACAGCTTAACCTTACCATATGACAGCTGGTTCAGACGGGGAAGCCGTTAACAGGTTCAGTTCCCCTTTTTGCCCTTGTCAATGCCACCAGACTCCACTGACAAAAACAGCAATTTTGACTCCCTATCACAGAAGCTGCTCCCTGCCCTATTGCTGCCTCAACCAATTAGTTTGTGTTATTTCTTGACTTTGGTGAAGCCAATTTTTTTTTTTTCGGGGAGACTTCTTGAGGTGGCTGGAATACATTCTGTTGTTGCGCCCGCCCACTGCTTAGCTTCTGTGGCAGTATTCCAGCTCACTTCTCCAAACTGCCAAACTGTGGGTGCACCGACTGACATTTACTGCATGGTAAGACCAGTTCAGGCCAAAGATTTACCACCAGACGAGTTGAAACAGGCAACTACTTACAATGTGCCATTCGGCAGCATCCTAAAAACTTGCTGCTTCAAACCAGGTCACCACCATGAGACGGCGTATCATCTCTAGTCAACAACTCTCTGTGCTTCTGATCTGTAACGTTGACAGGAAGTGACCGCCATGAGACGGCGTATCATCTCTAGTCAACAACTCTCTGTGCTTCTGATCTGTAACGTTGACAGGAAGTGACCGCCATGAGACGGCGTATCATCTCTAGTCAACAACTCTCTGTGCTTCTGATCTGTAACGTTGACAGGAAGTGACCGCCATGAGACGGCGTATCATCTCTAGTCAACAACTCTCTGTGCTTCTGATCTGTAACGTTGACAGGAAGTGACCGCCATGAGACGGCGTATCATCTCTAGTCAACAACTCTCTGTGCTTCTGATCTGTAACGTTGACAGGAAGTGACCGCCATGAGACGGCGTATCATCTCTAGTCAACAACTCTCTGTGCTTCTGATCTGTAACGTTGACAGGAAGTGACCGCCATGAGACGGCGTATCATCTCTAGTCAACAACTCTCTGTGCTTCTGATCTGTAACGTTGACAGGAAGTGACCGCCATGAGACGGCGTATCATCTCTAGTCAACAACTCTCTGTGCTTCTGATCTGTAACGTTGACAGGAAGTGACCACCATGAGACGGCGTATCATCTCTAGTCAACAACTCTCTGTGCTTCTGATCTGTAACGTTGACAGGAAGTGACCACCATGAGACGGCGTATCATCTCTAGTCAACAACTCTCTGTGCTTCTGATCTGTAACGTTGACAGGAAGTGACCACCATGAGACGGCGTATCATCTCTAGTCAACAACTCTCTGTGCTTCTGATCTGTAACGTTGACAGGAAGTGACCACCATGAGACGGCGTATCATCTCTAGTCAACAACTCTCTGTGCTTCTGATCTGTAACGTTGACAGGAAGTGACCACCATGAGACGGCGTATCATCTCTAGTCAACAACTCTCTGTGCTTCTGATCTGTAACGTTGACAGGAAGTGACCACCATGAGACGGCGTATCATCTCTAGTCAACAACTCTCTGTGCTTCTGATCTGTAACGTTGACAGGAAGTGACCACCATGAGACGGCGTATCATCTCTAGTCAACAACTCTCTGTGCTTCTGATCTGTAACGTTGACAGGAAGTGACCACCATGAGACGGCGTATCATCTCTAGTCAACAACTCTCTGTGCTTCTGATCTGTAACGTTGACAGGAAGTGACCACCATGAGACGGCGTATCATCTCTAGTCAACAACTCTCTGTGCTTCTGATCTGTAACGTTGACAGGAAGTGACCACCATGAGACGGCGTATCATCTCTAGTCAACAACTCTCTGTGCTTCTGATCTGTAACGTTGACAGGAAGTGACCACCATGAGACGGTGTATCATCTCAACAACTCTCTGTACTTCCGTTCTGATTTGCAACAACTGTTAGTTTCCCTTCTAACTTGACACATTTGAACACTCAACATATGAACTACTTTAACTTTTGAATTTTTGTGTTTGCTACACATTCAAACTGTTAAAACAAAAAAATAAAATCTACTTCCTAAAATAACTTGTTAGAATCTGTGTTTTTTCTGTACGTCTCCCATTGACTCTGATTCATTCCTCTTGTTTGTCAGACCATTGTTGATGAAATCCAAATGATGTTAATTTTGAGTACAAACAGAAGTCGATGATGATCGATGGATGGAATCCACTGCATGTCGTCTTTATGTGACTCAACTCTCTGATGACAAAACTGGGTAGATTTCCCTCGGCTCAGTACTTTTCCTACAGCTACAGCTGACCAAGTTAAAAACTCTCATTGCATTCTTTGCGTGTCCTGACAGAGGTCTCTTATGTGTGTCCACACATTGTCCTCATCCCAGAGCTTCCTCAGATATCTTCCTCTGTTGTGGCTAAAAAGGCCCAATTAAAGTCAGATTGGGAGAATATGTACTTAGATTAAACAATCTTCAACTGGGCAAGATAGTAAGAGCAGAGGGTTCAAAAATAATTCACACACACACACACACACACACACACACACACAGAAAGTCAGACAGGATATCCGTCTAAGGAGGACTATAAGAATGTTTCGTGAACTGTTCTGAGGTGCTGTCTTATTGTTTACAATAAACGACATGCTAACGGCTGTGAACTGACCTCTTGTCATCAAGTCGTTTCTTCAATACCTCCAGGCACTGACTGAAGGAGTGGAGCTCCTCCTCACCCTCGAACACATCAGGACGTCCTAATAAAAAACAGAGCACCTCAGGAGCCTGCAAATCATTCAGCGCCGACAAGTTTCCACAAGTGTTTCTGCCTGTAATTGAAGCTTCTGCAGCAGCTTATTTAGAGAGGAGCTATTTAGACTCCCAGAGGAGAGTGAAGATGAGCGTTTACGAGTAACAGGTAATAATTTCACAACTCACAGAGTGTGCGGTTTGGACGGCAGGAAGTTGGACCCCCAGAACAGGTTGGTGCTTATAATTATGACTCATTTAATTGTCTCATTTGGGTTCAAAGGTTTATTGGTGTTTTCCAAACCCAGACATTACTGGGGTCGAGTTCACCCGTAACTGACATTGTTTCTATCTTAAATATATAAATCGACAGAGTGTGCTTTAATTTATTACGTTTTTACAGAAATCATAAACCTGTCAGGCCGCAACCTGCCTCAAGACAAAGATACTGTAGTTATGCGTCTGATCCTGCGACCTCGTAAAGATACAGAAGCATGTAAAACTATCAGTCAATGGTTTTAAGACCGGACACTATTTTTTAAGTCCAACTCCATGTAGGAGAGCAGGGGAATAAAAAAGTTACCAATCGCTTCAAAGACGCTTGAAACGCTGGAAGTGCTTATTCAATGCGCGCTAGCTACTGGTGTCTGATGCTCAAAAAGTTGAAAATATTTTAACTTTTCAGCGTCTACGCGCGTCTAAAAACAAAGACGCCGGAAAAACGGCCATCTAAAAAGACGCTTGAATGAGGGTCAGACACGCCGTATCATAGGAAAACAATGGTTTTACTGGCGTCGCATTTCTAGCGTTTCATCTCGGTGTGATCGCTCCCTTAAGCCTACAAGCTAACAAAGGACATAATAAAAGATGCTAACTACCCTTACTGTTCTGAAACATCTGTTAGTCGCCATTTTGGTGCACAGTAGACTCCTCATCTGAGTCTGGGTCTGATTGAGGCTCAAACATGTATAACATAATCTTTCAGATGTTTCTTGTAACGCTAACACTAGCCATTTTGCGCACAACTCTAATGCAAGCAGTGGTGGTTGCAGCCTCTTTTTTTTTTTCTTTTTATGTGCGAAAACCACGTTAATTAAACTAAATATTAATCATCTCAGACAAGGCAGAGTATAAAACATGTCTGAAAGGCAACAAAAACATTTGAAAACACCACTCTCATGTACAGTAAATATGGAGCTACAGCAGCAGTTAGCTTAGCTTAGCATCATGACTGGAAGCAGGGGTAACAGCTAGCCTCATTCAAAGTGAAGGTAACAAAATCCACCTACAGTACCTGCAGCTCTCAAGCTCATTAATTGAGACAGTGTGTCGTGTTTGTTTAATCCTTTAAAAAATGCTAATAATAAAAATGATTTAATGAGCGGTATGCTGGTGTATTTGCTGGTGAGGGCTAGAATTTTCTTGGAGTCTCCTTTGGTTGCCAGGCAACAAGTTCTTCACTTTAGTTTTTATACAGATAAAAAAAAAGCAATGCATGTTGTGTTAATTAGTGGGTTTTAGTCATGCGTATACACAGATTTTGATACCTCGGTTTGGACAGAGCCAGGCTAGCTGTTTCCTCATCTCCAGTATTTGTACTAAGCTAAGTTAGCCGGCTGCTAGCAGTAGCGCTATAGAGTGTATAGACTTGTTAACTGTATCAGTTTTCTCATCTAACTCTTGCCAAGAAAGTGAACAAGCACATTTTCCAAAATATTTGTCTACAGACCACACCACAGGGTTCATTTATAATAACTAAGGTAAAAATCCCTTGTGTCATATGCATAGAAATCAATTAGCGCTGCGCCGCCTAATTGATTAATTACACTAATTGATTCGTTTTTTTCTGCTACCTAAAAAGGCCAACAACAAAACTGACATAAGTTTAAGTGTATGCTTAATTTAGAATATTTTCCTTGCCCTTTTCCTATGTGGTACTTCTTACTTTTTATTTTATTTATTTAACCTTTATTCAACCAGGAAGGGTCCCACTGAGTTACAGTAACTCTTCTTCCAGGGAGTCCTGGCCAAGACTGGCGGCAAAAGTTACAAGTACACAAAAGACAAGACGATGGACACATAGAACACAAGTGTCACATACTAAACATACTAGAACACAAAGTCAATGAGAACACATTACACTCAGTAAGACACATAACAAGGTAAAACAGACATACTATTGAAAGGCACCTCAACACTTCAGCAGCTTCACAACAGGTTACACTTCCTTGTTATTGGTCACATGTGTCTTAATCAACCAGTGAGAGCAAATAATATTTGTGATCATAAATATGTGAATAGTTTACTGTACAAACACTGTCAATGTATTTGTAGTAAATTACTAAAACACATGAATGAACTTAACTTGTAAACCTTAAACTTGCTTAGCGTCTGTGCTTCATATAATGAGCACAGCAGAACAGTCAGACAGGTCGGACCACAGTGTTTAACTATATATCTTTAAATGTTATAGTCACAGCTGAAAATGAAACAGAAATAAACAAGTTTGCTGATTTTACAGAGCTCTGCCACTGAAATCAGTTGCAAGTCGTCCACCTGGAAGTGACTGTCGTTGTCAAGGAGTGTCGGTCTATTCCTTTAAAAGGGACTCAAAGGCAGTCAGGCCTTTAAGCCGCGCTAATCAATATATTTGTGCCAGTCTCAGTCATTGAGGGAAAGTGTTGTTGACATTTCGACATTTTAACAACTTGAACTTCAACAGAGATCCAAACTGAAGCTGCTGAGCTTTCATACCTCAGCCGTTACTGAGTCAGCTCTTTGTCTACAGGATATTAAAAACACATAAATCTTCCCTGAAGTCAAGACATGTGGTGCCTATCACTGCTGTCACATGAGAAACTTTCCAGCGCACATTAACTGGAAGTGAAGTTCCCTCTGACCTGCTGGGCTGAGAAGAATAAAAATAAGAAGGGAAATATGCACTAAGTGTTTTATGAGCCAAACAAGGCGACTGTGGTAAAATGGGCATAAATGGAGCACTGAAACTAAAAGGTGACCGACAATATATAACTGAGCATTCTTGTCATTAAAGAAATAAATGTAAAGCTGCATCATTTTCCTTTAACTTAACCTTTATTTAAAAAATAATTGTTGTTTATTAATTTGATAAAACAAGGGCAAAAGTGGGATTTTATGCTGCTTTCACTTGCAATGGGAAAAAAAAGCTGCTATTAAGATTGTACACAAAAAAAACTGTTTGCTTTTCAGAGCCTTTTGTAGACGTTATCATTTATGACCACACTGTGTGACACAGTCGTCCTCACCTCTGTCAAAAACCCACAATGAGCAAATGTGTTTTATCACATGTTCTCCACTTCTGATGCAGTGGCACACATTACTTTGTCTCTTTATTTGTGAAATAAGAAAGAGTGTTTAAGGTCTCTCAGTCATGAGTCAGTGGAGTCTTTCTCTGCATAGGATGAAACGTCTGTGATAATATTTTGATTAATTTGGTTCAGTTATTGTGAAAGTAGAGGCAGTGCAACAGTTTAGTGTGAAACTACAAACTTGCAACATCACACTTAGTGCTGACGTCATGCTCAAACTATCAAACCTCAGCTGCTGCAACAAGTTGTTGTTCTCTTGATGGAAACACTACAAGCTACAAATCCCTTCACAGTCCACAACAATAAATCGAACAGTTTACCTGTGCTGGATCATTTTGCTGAACTCAACATCTCTGCCGGTGTCTCTCCCAGGTGCTGCGCATCAGTGACTCATAACGAGTCACACACACCCTGATCGAACAAAGTAAAAAACTTAGACACAAACACATGGGCTTACACACTCTGAAAACTTTACTTAAAATAATAGACCTTTTTTCACAGCAGACATTCTGACATGTAAGAAAGAAAAGCACTGGTGCATTTAATTACATTAATGATAGCTACATTCCAGTCAGAGGAGCTGCTGGTAATGAGCATGCTGGCTCACTGCGACATTTATTGGAACTGAACCATCCTCAGTGTTAGCATTTGCACCTGTGCTTTTACGGATATAACAAGTCAGAATGTCTATAAGTACCAGTAACCAAGGACACATCGCTCCAGTCAATATAAATGACTGAATACAGAAAAGAAACTGGCTGATATTTTCAATTACAATCAGCTGACAAGAACGAATCCTTAAACCCGGAAATGAGTTAGCATTTTTGCACTCCCAGTTCCCTCATCTCAAAGTCAGTTTTTCTTTTTTTTATGGATTGTTGGTGAGATGCCTGAAATAAGGTCTGTGGTTACACAAGCTTAGGAGACTTTAAATTTTACCCCACTCGTGAACTTTGAAGCTTCTCTGTGTCTTAAAAAAGGCGGTTGCTAACAAGTGGCTAAATGAGACTGCAGAACATCATCACGAGGAGCCGTGCTGAACACACCTTGCCATGGTGGTGATGTTACGTCATGTGACTGTAGTGTAGTTCTTTAATAACATTAGCTTTTTACTATTGGCAATTGCATTTAGGCTTCAGTAATCATGACAATGGTGTTCATTTGTGAAGATTATCTAGCTGAACAAAACCTGTAAGTATCACAGAGCTTATTTTTGACAGTAATCCAAAATCCAGTGGAAAAATCCCATAAGCCTTTTGAGGAGGGAACCAATGGGATTCTAACTTGTGGGTTGGCCTACAGAAAAACATCATCCCTGGAGCAATAGACCATTTATTTATTTATTTTATTGCTAGGTAACAGTCTAACAGCTGGGTCCAACTTCCTGCAAGCTAGTAGATTAGTAGTAGATTTCTTCTAAGTTGTTCAATTCTGCAGGCAAACTTGGACTCACTTAGAAAGTTTCCCCAATGTTTTCAGATTATTAATACTTTCAGTACACCTCATTCATATAGTAAAAAAAAAAAAATTAATTTAATTTAGGGTTTAATAAATGAGATAACTAGTGACCTTTTGTAGGCCTTTTTCAATATCAGTCAGTTTTAAATTAAATGAAATGTAAATGTAGACAGCCATAACTTTTTTTCTTAAGCAGGAGTGTCTTTATCCCCAATGTCCCCAAGAGCCACCTTAGGGACACTATTTCTCATGTAGGGCCTCAGTCACACGGGAAGTATTTTAGCAGCTGGAGGCATCTTTTGTAATTGTTTTTAATGCAAATTAAAGTTATTGTTTGCAGTTTTTGTGTTGTTACGCGCCTCGTGTTTCAGCGCTCAAGGCGCCTGCGTATTTGCCGGAGGGCTCTGAACTCTTCCAGTTGAAAAACTTAAACTCAAAGCGAATAAAGCGCCCCACATCATCTCTGCTTTTTCCCAATTGTCCAGTTGGATGATTTAGAGGTGGGCTTTCTGTGGTAGCCATGACAACAAGTTTACAGTTGGTAAAGGAGGAGAAACTGGTGGTACTCCCCATGATCCAGCCTCTTTTTTAGGGTCTCATGTACCCACACAGATCTCTGTTTATCTGCTGACAGCCTCTCACCCTCAACCAGGGCTACAGACAGAACCCTCTGCCTCAACATGTCAGCAACTACACACTGATTATTGTGAAATACAAATAATAAGTGGTTGCCCTGCAACAAAAAAAAGGCGCAGCAAGCGGTTTTGTTTTCATATACTAGTGGCATTCAATAAAAAAAAAAAAAAAAGGCAGTATGGTGCGCCTTGAATGTTGCAACCTGCTAAATGCTTTTTATGTGATCAGGGCCTAAATGGGGAGGTTTGGGTTGAGTTGGTTTTTGTTTTTTGTTTTTTTGAACAGCAACAAATTTTCCTTGCGGTGATGATGTCAGAATGCAACATTTAAATCAACATGTGTGACATTAGCTGCTTACCTTCTTTGCTACACATTGAACCAGGACATCTTCATGTTTTTCACCAGCTTCCTGTTGTTGAACCAGGTAAACTGTAGACCAGGTGTGAGCTTACTGTCCTTAGCCTAAAAGCTAAATGCTACAATCCTGCAAATCTGAAAAGATTCCTACTTTTAAACCTTTACATTTTTTCCCTCTAAAATTGAAAAAAGACTTTGAAGCAAATACCACAAAAAAAGCAACTGTCACATCTCTACATCCACATTTTTACATCCTCCAGTATTCAGTATTAAAGAAACCAGATTCAACCAAAGCATCTCAGCTGCAAAACACAGCGCCTCTCAAATGCTCTCAAACGCCCCCAGCTGAGCATTTCCTGAGGAGCACCTAGGAAAAATTGCTTTGGTGGGCATGAGGCCTCAGTAGACCAGAGGAATAAACACAGAGTGAGAGCTATGAGCGACTGAAATCAAGACAAGGTTTGCTAGATTTATCTGAGAGCTGCATAGTCCTAATCTGATCTTTTCTGACCTGTCTTCCTGTTTCTGTTTCCTCACAGATCAGATTACTGCTTCAAAATGAACCAACTCAAACTGCTCGATGACAAACAGCATTTCGTCTTCATCCTCATCACCATGTTGGCCCTTCTGTGCTCCAGCCAGATCTTACCGAGGACAGATCCTCCTATAGGCCCCGGCCACCCCTTCCTGTTCATGTGGAACGCCCCGACCGAGCTGTGCGACATCCGCTTCGGCATGCCTCTCGACCTCTCCTACTTCCACTTTGTCAGCAGCACGCTGAGGACAGCAACCAACCAGAGCGTCTCCATATTCTACACCGACCGCTTCGGCATCTTCCCCTACTTGGATGAAGACACTGGTGAGATGTACGATGAGGGTCTGCCGCAGCTGGTAGACCTGGAGGAGCATCACGATGAGGCCGAGGATGACATCGAGTACTACATCCCTTCTGACATACCGGGCCTCGCTGTGCTTGACTTTGAGGAGTGGAGGCCGCAGTGGATCAGAAACTGGGGCGACAAAGACATCTATCGAGAGATGTCCATTGAAACGGTCAAGATGAAGAACCCGCTGCTTTCTGAGGACGAGGCGGAGGACAGGGCCAAGATCGTATTCGAACGTGCAGCCAAGAGGTACTTCCTTCGATCCATCCGCATCGGCAAGAGGATGAGGCCCAAAAGACTCTGGGGTTACTACCTGTACCCCGACTGCTACAACTACGACTACAACCAGGACATGGTGGGCTTCACTGGAGAGTGTCCCGCCATTGAGAAGGAAAGGAACGATGAGCTGATGTGGCTCTGGAAAGATTCCACAGCACTCTTTCCATCCATCTACCTGGAGCTGGTGCTCAGAGACTCCCAGCAGGCCCGGAAGTTTGTTCGCCATCGCATCCAGGAGGCCATGAGGGTGTCAACACTCCCCAACAGATCCTACTCCATCCCCGTCTACGCCTACATCCGCCCGGTGTACAAGGATAGCATCGATGACTACATGTCAGAGGTCAGACACACCTTTGATCAAAAAGACACACCCTCTTCTCACCTTTAGGCACAATGTGTGTTAAATACTGGTCTCTGGGGGCATCGGTAGCGTAGTGGATAGTGCCGGCGCCCCATGTATAGAGGCGATGCCTTGCTGCAGCGGTCGCAGGTTCGACTCTGGCTTGCAAACCCCACTCTCTCTCTCTTGCCCCATTTCCCTGTTCATTAAAGGCAAAAAGCCCAAAAACGAATCTTAAAAAAAAATACTGGTCTCTGGCTGGAAGGTCTCTCCTACTCTCCTAATTTACAGCGTGAGATATCTTTCAAATATAAATGCTGGCTAAAATGGTTCAACTGACTGACAGAGAGTTGTAAAACAGACAAACTTTGTTCCTTTGTTGAGTGTATTATCACTTCCTTTTACCATTTCACTGGAAAATACTAAATCTGACAACTCTTTCTCAGAGAAAATTATAGACTCAACAGAGGAAAAGTCACAATTAAGATCAAATTACCAGGAAAAGAGGACATTAATGTACAAACTAAAAGAGATGGTATTTCACAGGATAAATAAAATGAAGAGCTGTCTTGAAAGTTTACAGTTTGTATATGTTGGACTGTATGGAAGGCCATTTTGTGCTCTTGGCTGATACCCCTTTCCACCAACTTGAAACAGGTTCCATTCAGGTTCCTGCACCTAATTTTGAATCATTCGGAGCATTTTGACCAAAAATAAATTGGTTCTGAAATGTTGATTCTCAGCTGGAACCAATAAAAAATGTCAAGTTTTCCTTCAGCCCAGCTCAGACCAATGATTCGCAATAACTAGAAACTGTTTTAGAACGTGCCAGAGAGAAGTTGCAGTGGTGTGAATCATCATTCAATCATTTAATCAGACACAAACAGAGCCAGGTGTATCCTGAGGACTCCTGTCTCACATCCTGGTTTCCAAAAAGACTGGAATGCTGCTCAAGTTCTGGTCAGCTTTTTTGCTAAATTAATTTAATGATATTGCTATCAGGTGTGTCTCAGCAATAACATGTGAACTCTGTAGCCCTACTAAATCCAAACTAAATATATTTTAGTAGCATTAAGAGAACTCCCCACTATAACTGCTGTGACATTAATAAATATATACCTTATTGTCAACTCTGTAAGATGTCGACTCCGGGAGATCTTACCTCTGATGTTCATTCAAGAAAAATTAAATCACTGGGATGTTGGTTTGTTATAAGGTTTAATAGTCTTAGTCTTTAATAGATGTTCACCTTTTAAAACAGTGGTTCCCAACTGGTGGGTCATGGTCCAAAAGTGGATTGTGGGTCGATTCTGAATGGACCACAAGTGACTTCCAAACATGTCAACTTTGTAAAAAACACACTTTATTTTGAAGTACAGCGAATTTCAGGCACTGAGCTTTTATTTTGAAGTGTTGTTTCCTGTTGTAGAGTGACTGACCAATGGACTTAACAGACACAGGAAACTCTTGACAACAAGTATGACGTTAACTGTATCAAACAGTGTGGACCTCGAACTAATGACTAAGCCAGTTGTGAACCAGTGTTTTAAAATATATTTTCAAGAGTAAAATCTAATACCCCCCCCCCCCCACACACACAAAAAAAACCAACCAAAAAACAAAGTTTTGTCACAATTGTCAAGAATAAATGATATCTGTAATAATGCAACAAAAGTTTGCAGGTAATCAATACAATTCGCCACCTTCCACTGTGCAGCGCCCCCTGTTGACATTCTGGTGGAAACGGGCTGGTTCACTAAACAGCACCAAGAGTCCTGAACAGAACAGGTTCAAGAACCAGAGCTAACTTGGTTGAAAGCAGTATGATTGGCTGTTACTTGTCTTGCAGTTTGATCTGGTGAACACCATCGGAGAAGCTGCTGCTCTCGGCGCCGCTGGCGTTGTTTCCTGGGGAGACATGAATGTCACCGACACAGAGGTAAAATGTGACATCAGTCCGGAGTTTCTTTTTATTCCTCTGTTTGTCTAACAACCACTAACTGACTAAATATCCCACAATCCTGTAGGACTCCTGCTTTGACGCTCGGCGCCACCTGGAGCGGGTCATGAACCCGTACATCGTGAATGTCTCCACAGCAACGCAACTCTGCAGCCAGGCGCTCTGCCAGGGCCATGGACGCTGTGTGAGGAAGCAGTGGGACGATGACGTCTTCCTCCACCTTGACCCGCGGCGTTACAGCATTGAGCAGCAAAGCCGCGGCGGCCCTCTGACTGTGAGTGGCGGCCTGTCACAGGATGACATCAACTGGTTTGACCAAAACTTCGACTGCATGTGCTACAGCGAGAAGCCGTGTCGATCGGTCCTGACGTTCAACATCATTAACGAGGCCTTCCTCACCACGAGGAGTCAAGGTACTGAGAAGCCCCGCCCCCTGCTGCTGGTGATGATACTGCTCTGTCTGAAGTATATGGTGATGCAGATGTAGATTATTAACACAAACGCGCCACCTGTGATACAGGACATGTGGTTACAGGCAGGTAAAGGACAATTCCACTGTTATTTTGTTTATCATCATATATATTATATTCTGACTGTTTGTACCTGTGTTTCCATTAAAGGTGTTTTTCCTTCAGTTTAACCAAATCTCTCATTCACACAACTTTCTTTTGGAATATGCTCCTTCAATAACACTCTTCAAAAATCACTAAAATTGCAGGAACTTATCACCATTAATGATTTTAAAACTCAGCTTACAGGCTTTATAATGGCAAATTGTGGAGTGTGTAAATGTTTTACTGCATAGTATTTTATCACCCTCAAGTAAGTGTTCTTTTAGTGTGTATAGTGGTGCACTGTTTGTGTTTAACATGAACTTTTCCTCCTCAGGATCCCCTGTCACCACCTTCTCTGCCCCCATCCAGCCCTCTCCTCTTTCTTCTTTATATGTGTCTTATTATGTTTTGTGCTTTAATGCTGCCATTTTGGCCAGGCCTTGCTCGTAAAAGAGATCATTTGATCTCAAGCAAATCTGCCTGGTAAAATAAAGGTTAAATAAAATAAATAACAATACTACAACACTATTATATTAATTATTAGAATTATTAAGGTCTTAACACAAGGTTTAGACATGCCTTCAACATTAGAACAAACACATTTGCACATTTTTATTAAGCACATTTGCAATTTATTAAACTACATGCAGCTTTTTTGACAAAATGATCTCAACTCAAGGACCTCTTACTAGCTTCTTACTGAGCTTTCAACACTTCAGTCCAGACATTCATCATCTGCAGAGGATGAATCCTCATGACTCTGCTGCTCTGACTCTTCGTCTAGCACTTACTCATAACATTCTCATCAATCTGCACCTTGAGTTTAGTGTTGATTAGCAAATGTTAGCATGCTAACATGCTATGCTAAAGGCCTTTTTACACAGAGATTGCGCTAAAGTCCCTTCTTTATGCCACCTTTGCATTTTTACACAGAACCAAACAACGACAGCATCATGCCGCTCAGGTGTGTGATTTTAGGGGCCTACACATGCTGCGTCTTTAACCACCTAGAAAACACAAGGTCGGGTGCTGGGTGCTGCTCTTGTGCCTTTTCTGTGCCAACTTTCAAGTGCACAGTGGCAGGTTGCGTCTGAGGTTGCTAAGCAACTTCAACAAGCACCATATCATAGCATGTCTACCTGAAATCCTGAGTGCAGAGCTGATCTTCTTCCAGGAGCTGTGTAGGCCTACCGTCTGTGGGACAGATGTAAAGCTCTGGGTAGCCCTGCACTAACATGATCAACTTCTACATATTTATCACAGACAGTATGTATGGATGAAGGGAGAGAACTCTGTCAGCTGTGATTGGTTGGTCCTTGTCTCATGACATGCAGTGCCTGCTGCTGCATTACAAAAGCTGATCTTAGTGATCTCAGGGTAAGCACTCGGAAACGCACGCGCGCTGCAACAGCTGGCGTTTGAGCTCGCCTGCCGCGTGTCTACACTGAAAAGAATTAATTTGAGGGCGCAAAATGCAAGGCATGTGTACGGCCCCTTAGCCAGCATGCCGGCATCACAGAGTCAAAAGAGGCGTGACATATGACGCAATGGCGCCGGCCTCAAGAGTGACATAAATCATACTTGTCCGCAGCGCTTTATAAACAGTAACAATAGCAAAACATGGCAATAACATACATTTACTGTCCCTGTTATATGGCCGCTAATCTCGTCCTCTGCTCGGAGGGTAAGGAGCTCCTGGATCTTCTTGCTGCTAAAACTGCTAAAGGCTGCACATGACACGTCATCAAAACAGCACCCCATCCTGCTGGCTGTCCTGTTTATACAGACTCTGTTTCGGCGCTGTTACTACCCTCCGTGGTGGCTTTAAGGCATGGCCACTCTGTCACCCCATTCCGAGATGGTACCTTATTTAGAGCACGGCGAGGCGGTATAACGGTGTGATATTCCCGCCTTGAACAGGCAGTGTAAAAGGGGCTTAAGATGGTGAACATGGTAAACATCATACCTGCTAAACATCAGCATGTTAGCATCTTACTGTGAGCTTGTTCAAATCAGAGCCATGTGAAGGAGTGACACACACACACACACACACACACACACACACCCTCAGGTCAGAAATCATGCTCAGAGACATAATCATCCTCTTCAGCCAGTCCCTGACCGCCTTCAGCTCGGGGGTCCAATTCCTTGGAGACGGCTGGTTTGTTTCCTGTGGGCGGAGTTGAGAAGCATGGGTGGAGTTAGGGATTTAATGGTTATTTGGTTTGGTTTAAATTGTGACAGGAAACATTATGCTTTTCTCTGATTCTTATCTTGAATGGAAGAAATGATTCTCGCTATATTAAATACAGTGTGCACTGAGGAAAATAATAAAAAGCCTGACTTTGTGGGGAAAAAACAAAAACTACCCACAAACATGAAAAACTCAAATATTAATTTGCATTGTACAGCAGAATTATTCCAATGATGCCAACTCTTCTTTTATTGGCTATGAGGGTTGTTGGATTTTATTTTCAGTTGATCTCTTGTTAATTAGTGGAGGACCAGAGGGGTTAAATTCCTCTACACCAGATATTTGGTCAGGAGGAGGCACGCTGAGCGAAGACAGTGTGTTAATGTTTAACTGAATGCACCCTTTCTGTGTGTGTGTGTTTTTACCTGTCCTCTTGCCACAGCAGACAGACACCATCAGAACAGTGGAAATGCAGTATGGAAAGGCGACCACTAGATGGCAGAGCAGCCTGATCACAGACAGAGAAGGAGGAGGAGGAGGAGGAGAAGGAGGGGGAGGAGGAGGAGAAGGAGGGGGAGGAGGAGGAAAATCTGGAGACGAAAGGAGAAGCTTTTACTGGAATCCAGTGTTTTGTTTTGTTTTTCAAACACAAAGAGGGAGCTTGGCATTAAACAGACTGTGACTTTAGAAGATATCTGTTGGGTTTGGCTAAACTCATCCTGCTGAAGCTTCATCAGCCACACTTCTGAATACATTTTTGCACAGAACATCGACTGTGAATTTTGTCTCTCATCTCTCACATTGCAAGCTCATTAGGATCCAGTAATGCAGTGGCTCCAGACTGTTCCTTAGTTATTAGTTCGAGGTCCACACAGTTAAATACGTTCCACATCATTCATTACTTGTGTTTGGCCGTGTCTTCGAGCATGTCACTCACACTACAGCAGGAAATGACACTCCAAAATAAAAGCTCTGTGCTGGAATTTACTGTACTTAAAAATAAAGTGTGTTTGGTTTTTTGGGGGGTTTTTTTTCCCCACAAGTTTAACATGTTTGTGAGTCACTTGCGGTCCATTCAGAATGGGCCAGCAACCCACCTTTGGAATAAAATCTGTTTCAGCGTTTATATGGGCATCTGATTATTGAATTCACAGTTTAGTTGTTTGGTAGTTCATTAATTAGATAGTACTTTATTAATCCCTTGGGAAAGAATAAAGAGCTCGGTGCTGTGGAGCAACTGGAGAGGCTGCCGTCTCCTACAGCGCCATCTTGGATCTTAAATTAAACCAAGTGAGCATCTGTTACCACATCTTAATGACGTGCATGTAAGTTTGTACAAGAAAAATGTTGGCAAAACAACTTTAGACACTTAAACTACGATGCCTTCTAATCCAGTAAGTTAGTTCATATCTTCAAGCACAACTGTTACATGTGTGAGTGTTCTGACCTGTGACACTCAGCCATCTCCTCGCTGACCATGACAACAGACCACTGGAACACCGGTAGAAGCCTTCATCAGACTGCTGCACATCACTGATGGTAAACTCTCCTGCATCTCCGTATCCAATGTAGCTGTCATTCTTGTGGAAATATGCTGTTTGTGTGGAACCATCTCTGGTTCTACAGCGCAGAGTGACATCACTTCCTATAAACACAGGAAGTTTGGGCAACTCCAGCATCACAGAATAATCTGGAAGAGAAAAGAGACCAGAGTATGTACCTGAGATATCCTCCTGAGACCCAGACTTTTGTTTTGTATGCACTTTAAGTTTTTCCTAGCTATTTGAGTAGTAGGACCTGATAAGTAAGTAAAAAAAACCCTAAAGATTATCACTGATGACAAATAAATAAATCCCAATATCTTTGTACAAGACAAGCCATGATTGAGGACGTGATAATTAACGTCCCTCAATGAGCGGATGAAAATTTCCCAGTTGTCTGCAAACGAGTACTTTCTAATTAACAGTGTCTTGTTACTGTTGCTAAAATTGGTCGAATTTGTTGCCACATCAAACTAGAAATGTTATTAATCATAAATACACATGTTTCAACCACAGAATTTGATCAGGTTTTGTACCTTGTCCAATTTTGTGTCTGGATCAGCTGCAGACTGACCCGACAGAGATGGCTGCCATCTTGTTTTGACATGGATTAGTGTATTGTGGTTTTACTACCACTATATGGCACAAAAAAGTGTCCACGGACGAGGACAAAAGGGTCTAAGTTAAGCAGAATAACGTTTAAGTTCCAGTAAACCCAAAATGTAATGTCCTCATATGAGGACACAAGGTCTCAGGAGGATACAAGGCAGGCAAACACAGGATTTAAACATTCAGCTGTCACCAAGTCCCACAGTGAAACTCTGAACACACACCAACCCGATCCCCAAACACCAAAGTCATTAATATTAAATGCATAGCCACAAACAAACAATAACAGTGTGAGCTGTTTGACTTTAAAACTGCCATCTTCCTGCAGTTTCAGTGGAAAACCTTCGACCATCTATTGTAGTAATTCTGCAGCCTGAGCTGAAGATTTTTCACCTGTTACTTTTATGATTTCTGCAGTTTGAGGCACAAAAACAACTCCTGAAATTAAGCGTAACCTCTCGGGTTGTTCTATCCCTCACAAACATCTCACTGAGCACGTTAGTCAGAAGCCCATTTAGACACAGTCAGTCCATTATACCTTAGTTCGTTCTCAAGAAGTCATTAGAAGATTGTCAGGTAGACCAAAAAGAGTAAGTTCAGCTTCACTCAGAGAGAGTCCATCAGAACAACACAAACACTGGACAGACACCTGGCAGGACGGAGCAGGTTAGTTTCTCACCAGTCACACTGATGTTGACCTGGACGCTCCTCTGTCCAGCTCTGGATTCACACCAGTAAACTCCACTGTCTGATAAGTAGAGTTGTGGAACAATGCAGGAGGAACCAACGATACTCCCAAAGTCTTCTTGACCTCCACCACATGTCTGTGTCCGTCCTCCTGCTGTCCTCTTCACCGTCCATCCGTCAAGTGTCTGTCCATCTTCAACACAACTCAGAGAGACGGACTCTCGTCTAAAGTACAGCTGACGGTTGGGACGGGCATCCAGAGAGACTGCAGGACAAAACAACAGACAGATAGTTTTTGAGGTCTTTTTTTTAAATGTGTGTGACCTAGGGCCGCTTCATAAGCAGCAAGTATATTACGGCCCTAATAGCCACAGACGTGCGTAATGGTCGCACATAATGACAGCTGTTCTGTGTAATGACAGATGTCCAGCTCCACAATGAGAAAGCTATGTAAAACAGGATCAAACGCACGTGAGGATTAATAAATCCATAAACTATGTAGTGTAACACCTGGGCGTAACGGGACCCTCGCATAACTTTATCAAGCAGCAGTCAGTCAGGGGTTCAGAGAGCGCGCTAAGGGCCGTAATATACTTGCTGCTTGATCGAATGTACGCGTACACAACGTGCAGCACTATGCAGCCAAAATGCACAATACTAAATAAAAAAATAAAATAAAAAAATCGTGAAGAATCTCATGAGAAGAAGAAGAAGGGTCTGGTCTGATCATCTGGTCGGGTCACTGTGTGCATTCGCACCAGCGCCTCTAGCGGTTATACGAATATTGCATCTCGAGCACGTGTTGCGGTACCTCGCGTTGAGATGTGCGTTTGACGCGTCAAACGAACACAGATCGCGCTTGGCAGCAATGATGCGGTCGCGTTTGCGTTGTTTGCAGCAAGTATATTATGGCGCATAGTCGACGCACGTAACGCAAGCAAGCAACGCGAGCAACGCACTTCCTTTCATTGTCAACACATTGAACGCAACACTTGAAATGCAATACATCGCTCATGCAAAAGGGGGTAGCAGAGTCACCGGTACATTCCGGCTAGCTAGTACTGCTGTAGCTAACTAGTACTGCTATTTTATTAGAGTGCAGAGCACTAGAACTGTCATATAAATGGGGGTGTGCCCGTACGAGTTCGCAAATTTTTCCTCCTCGCCCATTTCATAACTGCTTCTTCTGTGAATAACAAAAAGTGGTTAATTTCATATACGTCACTTGCATTATCACCCCTGCTGGCAACGCATGGTATTACACGCGTCGCTGCATAGTGCATCAAAAAATGGACAACACATTTTGAGAGGCAAGCACGCATCATGGCGGCTAATGCGTCTCGATGCGTCCCACTGCGTTTGCGTCTGCGTGCCTTTGCATCGACTATGAAACGTCCCTTAATGTCCTCCATCTTGTGTCAGTATCAAATATAAATTCAGACAGAGACACAGTTGAAAGTAGAACATGAGATCAGACAGACAGAGGAGCCTCATCAGCTCACCTGCAGAAACAGTCGGTCCAAACAGCAGCACAGCCAGGCCTGCAACAGGGAGACAGGGTTAATAAAGGTCAGAGGTCAGCAGGGTCACAGCAAGTCAAAAGTCGTCAAATGTCGGGGTGCCCACCAGCTGATCTGATAGAGCAGGCACTCCGCGTACAAAGGTGCAGCAGCTGCGGGTTCAGTTTCAGCCCACAGCCCTTTGATGATAATAATAAGCCCCAAAAATGTTCTTTTAAAAAAGTCAGTGTCAGAAATTTAACTGAGAAAAGGAAACATGATGAAACCACTTGGAAAAAAAGAGAAATACAAAAATAGTGTGGACTTCCTGTTGCCTTCACAGACACGCAGGAGAAAACACATTAAAGTGATTCTGTTATTTCTTCTGACAACCTACGCTGAGAATAAATAAACAACAAGATGCTCCAGATTAAATGTTCAGATGTTTGAAAATCACTCTGCTGTTAGACTGAGAACAACACATCAGATCTGGTTTCATGACACTCTGTAATCAAAAGTTCTGCCTAGTTACTTTTTCTTTATTAATTCAGACTGTTGGTTGCAACGTGGTAATCAGTGACACTGACTAGTTGCTGTTCACTCTCATTAGTTAATCATAGAAACTGATGTATTACTCACCGAGGATCAGAGAGACGGACGAAGCCTTCATGTTGTCCTAAGGTTGAGTCTGTCTTGGTGCCTCTGAACATTTCTGTCTCACTCAACGATAGCATCACTGCCTCAAACCACAACTTCTGCTTTCTTGAACTGGATATATAAAAAAATCGAGACCACGCCACATTTGTATGTAGTTTAACTGTAAAGTTTAGTTTGCCACACGTCTTAAAATTTACCAGCGGTACCTGCAGACAGTGAATCACATCAGCAGAAGAGGAGGGACAGAGGACAGAGGACAGAGGACAGAGGACAGAGGACAGAGGACAGAGGACAGAGGACAGAGGACAGGACTGACACTGACTGATGTCTGTGTCCTTCACTCTTTAATAACGTCACTCAGTATTGTGACATCAGAAATAATATTTATTTCATTGACATGTTAGGTTTGTTTCCACTGAGATATTATTGAGTTCATATGGTGACCTGTAAATACGACTGTTGCTGCCACAGACTGTATAAATATACATCCTGTGTATGTCTTCAAACATCAGGTGAGGTGTGTGTGAGACAGAGAGAGGGAGTGAGATACAGGTACAGGAAGACAGAGTGTGTTATCAGTTACTGTTAATACCACTTGTTGTGCTTCTGTGCATTGACGGCTCTTTTTTATTCTGCTTCTGCATTTGTGATGAGCCTGGGTCAGACACATGACTAAAATATGATTCTATATTTTAAATGTGAAACAATAAACACTGCTATTTTTATTACATTAATTTGCATTTGTTTAAAATGTGTCATTACTAAACCTAAAATAAAAGTTTTCAATACGTTGCCCGCAGCTGAAAGCGTCTGGCCCATCGATATTTCCTGGTTTTGAAATCCAGTCTAATTGAATTTATAATCGAACAGCCCTGGCCTAATTTAAGCCTTATTTTTTATTAAAAGTTTTCTCACACCCCTTAAAATCTAGAGGGATCCTGGGCTCTAATCAGTGGTCCCCAGCTGGTCCAGCCACGGGCTGCAGATTGCTCCTGAGTCATTAGTTCAAGGTCCACACAGTTTAATACGACACTTTCTCACACAAAAAAAGCTTGTGCAGGAAATTCACTATACTTCAAAAATAAAGTGTTTTTTACAAACTTGACATGTCATGAGTCACTTGTGGTCCCTTC